TGGAAATTTTAGTTGAATAAAAGATTAAATTGATAATCGACATTGTTAAATTATTTAATCCATAATTAAATAATTTACTATTTAAGTCAACTTTCCCCCGACTGACACTGCACGACGTATAAATGTCCTCAACTGTGACTGTTATACTTGAACTCTCTGTGGACAATAACCTGCAAACTGAGCATACATCAAATTGTAAATATATTTATAGGTCATATGAAAAATACTATTCATGCTTTCATTAACACACCACAGCAAATTCCTTGTATGGGTAAATACCTACTTGGCAAAAAACTTCGATTCTGATTCTGATTGAGCAAAACTTATTTACTTATTTATTCAATTTCCCTGCCAGCTTCTCCAAAGTGAATATCTGATTATTTTCTATTACGATAAACTTCAGTCAACATATTTAGGATTTTGACAACCATTTGAACTTTTTGAATGTTAATTTGGTATTTCAAGAATTTTTTTAAAAATGTTATTAACTTCTTAAATAATCAGTGAACTGATTAAATAATCAATCCCTTATTAAAGAAGGTTTTTGGTGGTTGCAGCCCTACGTTACTTCTATTCTGGAGCTATCCTACCTCGTCTGGCTCATGCCGGCTCACGTCTCACTGGGACACTTGAAGAGCATTGTTCACGTTATCAGGAACACTTCTGCTTTTCCTACTACGATATGTCAAAATGTCTGCTGTGGAAAAAAAAGGCCTATCTGGTGAGGCTGAGGACCATCACTCCATTGTGTCCCGTAAATGTTACCGGTTCAATAAAGCAATCAAAACACAAAAAGAGAAAATGGCTTCTCCAGAGCAGATAAGAAAAGACACGGGTGGATCCAATAACATGACTCCCCTCCACTGACCTGTGTCAGAGAGCCAGCACCCACAATGAGAACACGTAAATGGAATTCAGCTTTAATTGATATTGATTACAGCTGTGCTTGTCCTGCCGAGGCGTCTCAGAAATACTTGTTACAGGTACCAAACAAATCCACAGCTTGATTTGGGACATTCAAGGTAAAGCTTTTTTTTTACAGGTTATTAAAAACTACAGGATGCAAAGTTGTTAAAAGAAAGTCTTATACTTAAGGTGCTGAAATCCAAACTTTGCTAGTTATTTATAACATAATACATATATTTTTGGATGTCTATAACCTTGGTCCAAACTCTGTCTCATCACTTCCACAAAGTTTTCTGGGGAGATTCGCACACCAAAGTCCAAAAAACATAAATGTTCTATGAGCAAAGTCAAAAACAGTTTGTCTCTCTCATCATCAGAAGCACCTGTGATTGCAGGCATGCATTTCCGTACACCCCCCAACTGCTCAGGAGGAAAATACACTGGAAATCACACATCAAATATATGGCTCCTAGCTACAGGTGTCATATAGTCTCATTTTGTCTGGAATGGAATATATTAAATACGCCCCTGATTCCAAACACAGGTGAAAAAACCTAAATAAATATATAGTCTAAGGATGATTTGCAGGTAATTTTTGACATGTTCAATTCAACACAGTACAAAGACAAGCTATTTAATGTTCAAATAGATTTTTTTCTTTATGGTTTTTGCACATAAACATTCTGAACTTGATGCCTGCAGCATATTTATAGTTTGACTTTATTTATATTTCATGCAGCCTCCACGGTTTTTTGGAGGTAAACAGGAGCCTGCAAGCAAATAAACCCTGACACACAACAAAGATTTATCTGATTGAACACCATAGAGACACTCGTAAAAAGGTTTAATTGCTGGCAGGATGTTTGACTGGTAACAGGGCTGTATTGGCTGAGCTGTCAGGTTTATGAAAAGGAAGAAAATTGCCAAGTCGTTCATGCTCACAATGGATCAGTTTGGGGTATTTAAGATGTGATCGCCAATGACGGAGCCACACTGGAGGGAAGAAATCATGCCTCAACATTAGCAATGGTCCACTAGAAGAAAAAAACATCTGTGGTCTATGTGTGGGTTTCTGTGCGCACATGAGCATGTATGTATGTGTGTGATGGGATGTGATGCGACGTGAACCCCCTGCTGCTGGGTAACCCCACTGTGTGAGATCTGACAGCTCCCACTGCTGTCTCCAGGAGGGGATAAAAGAGTGCTGATGTGTGTGTGACTCAGATAGTGAAGAGGAGGAGGAAGTGGCCAAAAAGAAAAGAGAGAAACTAAAGCTTTTCCAACAGGAGCTTATCTGTACGGGCATGAAAACACACAGCTGCCTTTTAAAACCCATAACAACCGGACTGATGATATCTGCTGGGGCTGACCATTAAAAAGTAAAAGTAAATCTTTAGATTCAAACTCATCAAAAGTCGTAAATGTAATTAAGCCCTCAGCGCCATCTTCAGACGAGGAGCGACGCCATGGGAACGGTCCAACTTCTCTCTTAAAACACGGAGACATGAGAGAAAAGAACTCCTCAGTTAACTTTCAGCCAACACTAAAAACTATGAAGTGTTGATAATAAATATACAGTGAGACATAGGTTTGCACTTAAAGATAACAGGTGTAATTCAATGATCTTTTTAAAAAGTAAAGACAAAGTCCAGCCTGATGATAAGTGCAGCTCCGAAAAACTATTAGAGTTTGAATTGGCAGTTTTAAGTCGTGCAACATAAAAACATTTAAAGTGAAAGTCTCAGACGACTTTGAGGTTTCTGTAGCATTTCCAAGCCGTTGGTCGACAGCTACAAGAACCCTATTCATAAAAGAGCCGGTAGAGAGCACATGAATGACTCTTAACCAGCACTGCATAGCATCCATCATTACGTATTAGTTCTCAAGTGTTCTTAAAGTCTTAAGGACTCGGAGATCTCCATCTCTACAGCCTGGAGGAACATGAAGGAATGATTTCTGATGTGGTCCTTTTGATTTCCTGTTTAACTCGTGTAAAAACAAGTATTCATTTAACATGTATTGTTCACACAAAAGTCTTTGAATCCCCTGCATACGATTCACCATTGGATTTATTGTCTGAGCAAAACAAATATTGATTCTATGCTCACGTGTCCATTGCTCAAGTTGAAAACTATGGCACCAGTGAGTAGTTAGACACTGTGTGTTTAGTACAGTTAGTTCCTACTTTAACAGGACATGTGGATTTAAAAAGGACCGAACACCACCTTCAAACACTAGCTTAAACATTTTCAAAATCACATTTAAGAATAAACTTTAAAGAGGAGTTCAATTAAATGTCTTAAGGTCAAGGGCTCTAGTTGGCTGCAGGGCCGTGTGTACGTTCCCGTAGTGCTATCACTTTACATTTAACTGCATGGGATAAGAAATGTGAATGTTCCTACAAGGAGAGGTGATAATTGTGTGATGCGAGTCGCACTTTGTCACTTAGGTCAGAGCTGTGTTCAGGAACAGCTTCAGAAAGTCTCATTCTATATCTGATAGGTATATGATGCGTAATGAGCAAATATGCTACATCTATGTTATACTCCCAATCAAACCATGACAACGAGAGAGAACAGTGACAAGAGGCTGAAAATCGGAGCTGCAACTGAAGCCTGCTGGCTCACATCGACACACTGAATATTGAATGTTCACCGTGTATTAAAGAACTCGAGCTGGAAGTGAGGGGGGGGGGCTTATGATTTGGATGAACTGCTGCCAAAAATGGTTTCATCTGTATCTGCAGAGCAAGTGCTGCAGAACCTTGTGGGGAATAATGTTGAAACTGAGATTTAACAATAATGAAAAAGTAATTTCGGAAGCTACTGTGGTTTTTCTACTTCATTTAATCACAGTGACAAAGGATTTTCTCTTCTCTTTGCAATAACCCTCCATCCTAAAGAGCTCAAAATTTAAAATGACGTATTTGAGTCGGCCTGTCCACGTTTTTTGGATACACATCAGGAAAGTGGACAACTCCTCATTAGTATTGAGGCATTATCTCATGTCTGCATATTTAAAAAGCTGTTTACTTTGAAGTGCAGGTCTGAGCAACAATTTAGTGATTCATGGCTGTTTTCCTTTGCAGCCTGTGGATGACTAATGCCAGAGTGAATACGGGGATATACGGCTGAAGGCAATGTTTGCGTCTCTAAACTCATCAAATGTGACGGATGTTTTCATGCCTGTTTCACTGAACGCCCCTCACTTGCCCACACACGCTATGGGTTTAAAAAAAATCTCAAATGAAACATTGATCAAAAGTTTCACTCCAGATGGGAATAAACGAGAAAATCCCATTTCACTTTCTCCCCCATTAGCTCCTGCATATGTAACCATCTTTTTTTAGTTTTTTCAAGTGAGGTGAAGGAACATTAAAGGGATAGTTCACAGAAAAATACAAATTCACTCATGTATTCACCACAATGCAGACGGAGGTGGAGTGAAGTGTTTGAGTCCACAAAAGACTTTTGGAGTTTCAGGGGTCAACAGTGTCAAATCCAAAACAATTAAAGTAACTAGTGAAAGATTCTTCAAATGTAAAAAAAAAAAAAACATAACAGGCCTCCATACTGATCCTGAGGGTTCATCCAAGTGTCCGTAAGCCCCGACAAAAACAACGTGCAAATGAAACCGCTTCGATTCGAATTTGAACATTGAGGCTTCTGGACACTTGATTGACACCACAGGAGCACAGCCCCACCCCCTTTCAACCATGATGACATCACGACAGGTCTCCACCAAATACTCGTTTATACAACATCACTTCCTTCTGTTTTTGTGCATTGCAACGGTTTCTATTAACTTTTTAAAAGAAGTCTTTGTTAATTGAACCGATATTTGATTAGCTCATATTGGCCTCCTAAATAATGAGAGAATTGAACACCTCAATTAAATCAAAACATAATTAAAGCCTTATTAAGGTAGCATTAAGTGTCGCGCTCTGGTGTATGACTGCATTCGTTTTAAATAAATAAACCTAATAATATAAGTGGGTATAAATCTTTAGAAATTTTAGACAGAATTTGAACGCAGCCAGATAACAGGACAACCATTTGTTTTAAATGGGATAAATGAGTCGAAAATACACAAAATTTAAATTAAAGCAACTTTTACTGTAACAAGAAAAATTGCACAAGTTAGACAGGAGATGAGAAGATCCAGCCCTGAAATAAATCACCAACAACAAAGAAAAAAAATATCACATTCCTCTCCTTTTTTACAACTTTTCTCAGGTCAGGGATGTTCAAGAAATTCAGCTTTAACTCCACCAACTTTCTAATCCTCTGTCACACGCACAAGGAGCCAAGGGGAATGAAAGTCTCACGAATGTTCAGTGAGGGATATTATCCTCCAAATACTTCCCCAAGGAATCGAACAACAGGGACACCTTCCTCCCAGTATTTAAGGATTGAACAAGAGGAATATTTTCTCTAAAAATGATGCAATGCTTAAAATTGACTCAAACTAAAACATGATTGAAACATTAAAGGGTAAATGGGAAAGATGTAAGTGAAAGGGGTTTATTACTTTATATTTTAATCGCAGGTCTTCTCTGCAGAGGCAGACATGTTTGTCACAGCTGTCCAAACATGCTGCCACAGGTTCTCCGTGTGTGGGAGGCTGAGATGAAGGGTTTTCAGCTGTAACATGCAACCTCACCACTAGATGTCTCTAACTTTCACACACTGAACCTTTAAACTCAATAAAAAACTGCAAATTCTGCAAGTGTCTTCTGCTAAATGCAGCTGTGCACGAGGAGGTTTAAGTCACACAAGAGCTTTCATACAGTTGCAACAAGTCGAACAAGAAAAAAAGCCATTTGAACCGAACGATTCAAAAGTCCAGCAGCAGCTCCCCCCCCCCCTGGTTGTCTCTTCACACCCAACATCAGTCCTTGTACTCGGTGTACTTCTTGGCCGAGCCGTGCACCTTGCTGGCCGGGTACTTGAGCCGGTTCAGGGCCATCTTCCGCAGCACCGCTTGGGGCAGGTCGACGCGACACTTCTCGGCGAGCTCCACCAGGTAGATGAGCACGTCGCTGAGCTCGTGCGCCAACTCCTCCCGCTCGGACTCGCTCCAGCCGGGCAGACCCTCCGCCACCTCCCCGCGCCACTGGAACAGCTCGGACACCTCGCCCACCTCCCCGACCATGGCCAGGAGCAGGTTGCGGGGCTGGTGGAACTGGTTCCAGTCCCGCTCGTCCGTGAACTCCGCCTGCATCCGCCGAATATCCTCGATGGTGGGCTGCGGGGTGAAGGTGAAGCTCTGCGGCCGAACCGCGGCTCCGTTCAGCGGCTTGATGCTCGGCGACGCCTCCGGGGCGGCTCCGTTCGCCACAGCGGAGCCGTTACAACAAACCGAGGCGCCATCTTTTACCCCACAGTCTTTCCCGTTAGTAGCCATCATTTTTAAAAAGTTTAAAACAAGTTTCACCGTGTGTCGCTGACCTCCCGCTCCTCAGACAACTCCCGCCACTTGTTAGCCCGGAAATGACGCAACTTATCTCGGGAAACCGGAACACCCTGGATTCCTGGGATTTGTAGTCTCAGCCGGACTCGAGCGTCGTAGACTCCAACATTGAATCTCACTTTAAAGAACTACAGGTCCCGTCTCGTGTTTTTCCCGGAGCCTCAAAGACAACATGGCGGCCTCCTGTGCAGCAGCAGGTGAGCTGCTGCTGCTGCTGAGTGTCAACAAACCGACCAAGATATTCAACCCGAAGACTTCGTGTTTATTCCGGAGGATTCACACGACGAGCTCCAGAGGACGCAGTGAGTCTCAGCCCCGAGCGAGGAGGTAAAAGAAGCTGCAGCTGTGTTTGTGTTGTTGTTGTCACTGAGTTGATTTATTCACATGTATGTAATGAATCAGATAAACGACCCATGTATTTGTATTTAGTTCCAGTTAGCTTTGATTTAAACTGTGTCCACTGGCTAATGAAGGGAGAGAACCTGCGTTTACCTTAAGTTTTCTCCAGTGAGTATTAAAACTGGGGCAATTATCACTGTTATTGATGTAAGTTATTCTTATTACAATGTTCTGATGGTTATTATGGTACAATGATAAAGGTGGGCCACTGTTAAAAGCTTTATTTTGTTCATGATGAGGTTCAAGTTTCAGATGTCGTATATTGGGGTTGCGATGATGTGAAGATGATGAAGGAATMTCCGATGACACCGTCTTGATTGTATATAAAAGTTTAATACAAAAAGTTCAGCATCAATACAAGCAAAGCAATCTGCCTGGAGAGAGATTCGGGGCCAATGTGAATCTTCTCTGCTGCCTGGAGAGAGATTCGGGGCCAATGTGAATCTTCTCTGCTGCCTGGAGAGAGATTCGGGGCCAATGTGAATCTTCTCTGAGGGGCAACTTCAACTCCTCGTTTATATAGGAGTGTTGTTTTCATAATCCTAAAGTAAACACATCTGGTTTCTTATCCAGCTCTTCACGGTTATACAGTGACAGGAAGGGAGACGACACTAGCCCAAATTTAGTGTTGCACTTAGAACTGTGACCTATCACCCTACCATTTGTTCAGGCTTTCTCCAAATTCCTCAAGACCTGTGGACCTCAAACCTAAAGATAAATTTCTTTTATGGGGAGGACTACACATAGCATTTCAGACACCACACAGAAAACACTTGAGCCTGTTTAGTTTTGAGAGTCACAAGTTGCCAAGGAGGTTTTTCAGCATACAAACATTGGTGCATAACAAATAAAATATTTAGAAAGATGAAGCAAATTAAGAAGGAAGTACTGTTGTGTAAAACAACACAATGCAATTCTACACTACACGCTATAAATATAGTTGTCAAATGTGCAAGGTATATGTAATGATGTGTGTGATAATGTATGTGACAGTGTGGGAATATGGAGTCAGCATTTCTACAGGATTCTGACATAGAGAAAATACTGAACAATACAGAAAAATGAGCAGCAGGTATTTTTTATAGATCGTTCAAATCCTTTTGCTGCTCCAGTTTTGTTTACCGTTTGTCACTCCGAGCTTCTGAGAGTAAAGAATAACTACTGAGCATCATAACTTCATTTTAATACCCACACTTATTTAGAGCCTTACTTTAATATTTGGACAATTTTCTACAGCCTCTTTTTATAGTTGATATGTCATCACACCGTTTACGTCTCATTAACAGCACCGACTCTCTCGTGTGAACACGATCATAGCCAGAAGTAAACCCAGAGTTTACTGAGCCAGTCGATAACCATCTTTATGACACCAGTTATCCAGGATGGCTAACAGAGGGTTTGGCAGTAAATATCAGAAAAAAAGTCAAATCCGGTCAGCCAGACAGAAGCAAATATATTTTGCTTTGCCAGGTACACTGCTCATTCTCTGGCTGATATGTAGTAAAGCTTTCTGTTATTTCCTCTCTGCCTCAGTGCTCCCCAGCAGCTGGTCGGTGTGGTCGGCTTGGAGATCCACGCCCAGATTAACTCTAACACCAAGCTCTTTTCTGGCTCACACGTTCGTTTCTCAGCCCCTCCAAACTCCCTGGTGTCATTCTTCGATGGATCTTTGCCTGGCACATTACCGGTAAGTGATTTTGAGACAAAGAACCTGTTGTTAGATCCCCTTCTTGTCAGATCACATCAGGTAATGTCCCCGTGTGTCCCCAGGTTCTGAACCGACGATGTGTTGAGGCAGCAGTGATGACAGGGCTGGCTCTCAACTGCACTATCAACAGGAAGTCACTTTTTGACAGGAAACATTACTTCTACGCTGACCTCCCTGTGAGTTTCCCTCTCCTCCTTTCTTTCTTTCTCTGCAACATCCAGGCTTCAGCAGCATCTTATCAGACAAACAGGCAGTGTAGGGCCGCTCTAATCCCAAACATCACTCTGCCTTATTGTTTTACTTTGACACAAGTTGTCCTCATCTGCCTCCAGCGACTCCATCACAAAACCCCCAGTGAACTCCTCCTGCCCCCGAGCTTTAATTGAAATAGTGAGCAAGTCCTGCTGAAGCAGCAAAAAAGCTATTTGCCACACACACAGTCAAATGGTTCTGAGAGCTGTTAAAGAAAATGACCAGTGTTTTTTCACTTAACAGCTCATTTCCTACAGTGCACTTCTATTTTTACATTATACACAGGTCATTTCACTCTCCCTGCCTTTGCTGATTATTTGGGGATAGCTTTCTTTATTTATATATATATAAATACTGTGAATCATTATGAGAGTCCTAAAAACTCCAGGTAGTTATTTCTAAATCAGCATTTCTGGGTATGATCCATTACTCAAAACCGTGTAAAGCTGATACTCTGATTCTGGAGATTTTAAATTTACCTTTAATGGACTTCATTTCTGCACTACAGGTCAAAACACATCTCGAGGGATATTACAGGATTTGGAGTGCTGCAGCAACGAGTACTTTTGTCATTGAGGGATTTCCGTTTTTGACTTTCAATCATTTGCTAAAAAATGACTAAAAACATGTTTTCACTTTATCGTGTCTGAATACATTTATGTAATAGGAGCTAGTTTTAAATTAGGTGTCATTTTTTGTAAAGATACACTGTATTAATTAACAAATACTCTACATTTATTTTGGTAGATCAGACAAAATCTACATAGCATAAGATGAATAGCAGTCTGTTAAATTGGTGATAGAAGTATCCAGCTCCCTCAACAGTCTGGTTGCTCTGTGTAATAGAGCACCAGTGTGACAAGGGCTCACCAGCCCTCAGAGCCCCAGTGTAATTTTGCAGCCATTATGAGTGACCTTTTAAGGCTTAGATGGAAAAGACAAAATGTAATGGGAGCTACATTGACTCGGCCTACAGAGAGACGTCTTTTCATAAATCTGGAAATTCTCAGAAGAAAAGTGTGGTGGAAAATCAGAATTTTTCAGCGTTTGTCTCGCCCTGGTAAGATATTATGCTAACACAGCTTTGGGCAAGGTAATGAGGAGTGTAATTATAGACTGAAGAACCTAGGAGACAGATTCTCTTTTCCTGCGGTATTATTTCATTGAAACTGCCCGAAGAAGTGGATTAAAAGGAGAGTGCCCTTTACAAAGAAGCAAGCAATACTTCAAGTATGGTCTTTTTAATTACACTCTTTCTGTTGCTGCGTTACATTGAAATAATACGATCCCTCTCTTTGATATTATGATGTTTCTGGTTTGATTTCTTAGCTGACTTCAGTCTGTTGTGAGAATGTGGCTCTGACTTGTTTTAGGCCTAATGCTCAAAAGTTTTCTGTAGATGGTCTTGATCAGTCGCTGGTTATCACATAGTGGCAGCAGTACATATTTTAATCACCTTGGTAGCGATGCATCCTCTCCAAAGAAAGTCCATGTTTCTTTAGATTCCAGTTAAATCCCCTCCAGAAGTGCACGGATTACTGTTGTGTTCCTCTTGCTCTCTTGTGTGTTTACTAAAGCTTGCATCACCTCCTTTGGATTCTTTCTCAACAGCTGACACACACAGAAGGGACGATAATACCGGATTACAGTTTATGTTTTGCTATGAGATTTCACGGCAACCCCTGCCATCAGGTCGAGCCCGGAACCTCTATCTGTGTTTTATATTCACTGTGTGCTTTCTGCTCTATACCTGTTGTTACCTTTTTTAGGAATCGAGCTGTTTATTTAGTTTGCATTAGTCTCCTCAGCTGCTTCATGAGAGCAATCTGTTGCAGTGATACGTGAGAGCTCGATTACCTGGAGTCTGAGTAGCTTTAATTATGCAGAAGATGGAATGTTTTTCACATTCGACCCAGAGTTTGAATGTAATCTACGCTCATAAAACCAAACCAGTAGCATGGCCAAGAGAGAAATGATACCACCCTTGAAAAATACATTTGTAAATTGCATTTTACATTATTGATATGTTCCACTACAAATCCCTGATTGCATTTTGTAAAACACCACAGTTGCTCATTAAATGATCAATGCTGCTGTCCACCCAGTACACCCTCTCTGAATGGAAACGGCAGGCAAAGCACATATATAAAGCCTTCAGCTGCCCTTTAATAACATGCCTCAGCCGCTCTGCACTAATCTATCAGCCAAAGCAAATAATTACAATTTCCTTGAGATATTAAGTGTCTAAATAAACAGACACGGCCGGACTGTTTAAGCTTCACATGGTTTAACGAGAGCAGTGATTGTGTGTTTGGGACCTCGATGAAAAGTAAGAGAAAGGTGCGAGACGACTGACAGAGGCTTTTTTTTAAATGAGTCAGTAAATGACTCAGCGTCTCACAACACACAAATGAATTTGGAGCATAAGCGAGAACCTGCATGTGCATTATGAGAGCAGACACACATCTGTAGCTGTGAATATAAAAAGGTGTTCAGCTCGTTAGGGCTCTGTCTGTCGTCGGCGTGTAATTGGAAAACCCAAATGTGTCCAGTAGGGTCATATTACCAACAAAACTTTCCTCATCCCTCATTATGTCGCCAGAAGTAGCTGATTCATTATATAGGAAATGCAAATAATCTTCACGTATACAGATGCTGCCTAATGTACAGTATGGCGTTCTCGTGCTGCAGAGAGAAGAGACAGTATTTTTACCTGCAGAGACAAAAAGATGAAGTAAGAAACAGGTGATTCAGGAGGAACTGCAACATTATTCTCAAAATCCAACAGATTTAAAGATTGAATCCATCTTGAGGATCAGAACTTAAAAAAGAAAAAATCCCCAAATGCATATTTTTGTGTGTTGTGTTTAAAGGATGTGACTGATTGTGTCGATCAGGCACATTTAACAGAACGCCAGCGAGCACTCTGCCCCTCCCCAAACCTCTTCTCCCACGTCCTCGCTCTCTTTAGCATAAGTATGATTAATGTTTAGTTCCTGCGATGTGGTTGCTATAGTAACGTGGGAAATTAGTACTTGGGGCGGCAGATTCTTTTAGGAACAGAGAAGCAGATGAAATATTCATTCTTATGCTTTTGTGAATAGAAACCTCGAGTGGAGCAGCAACATCCCTGCTGCATTATAACCAAGGTCCAGCCAATCAGCCATCGCTGTGTTTAATTGATGCTGCCTGCCTGCCTCACCTTTTACGTGGACCCACGACTCTGAGCGCAGACTCGTCATCAGTGTTATTCCTCTGCAATACGTGGATTTAACTAAAAAAAACCTCAGGAGATATTACATCTCTTTCTGTAATTTGATGTATTAGTTAGTTTTAGAGTCCCACTGGGGAAATTTAGCTCCACAACACTGTACTTTTACCTTCACAAATTACTTCCCATAGAAACAAATAACAGAGTAAGACTTAGCAAACAGTACACATCATTGAACAGTAACAATATATATGCATAACAAACTAGAATGGCTCTCAGTAGAACACAATACCTCAGCCGAGCCCCAACAGACCAATTAAATCCTATCACACTGCATAAAGTTGTGCACACTCATAGATAAAGGTGTGAAAGTGAAAGTCCTGGATCTGCCCCAGATACAAAAAACAAAGTTGAATGGGTTCTTCCCTGACCCAGTTGTTTTTGTGTGATCTTTCTTTTACAGGCGAAAACACAACAAGGACACCTCATCAACATTGACATTGACTGTAAAAAAAAGTCAAATCTCCCATCGGAAATTACATTTTGTTTAAAAAAAGTCAAATCATCGTTTTAAAGTAATGATTTCAAGTTGGATAACAAACTGAAATACTAACATTGTGATTTATTTATTGATGTAAAATGTAATTATAACTACTTCGATCCTTATTTCACAGGGATTAAAACATAGTCAATGCTGCTGTCACTGTTCTCATTGGCTCAGTTTTCATCACACTAACACAGTCAGAAATCCTCCGTCATTTAATCAGATGGTATACGGTTGGCTGCTGCACCGTTGGGGCCTGATGAGAGGTTACATTTCTTGAAAGATAAGGAGAGCATAAAAATGTTTTGCCTTTTTTATGCTCTATTTACTTCACAGCCTCACGCCTGGTGTTTTATAATGATGTACATTCTCGTGTCAGGCTGGATACCAGATCACTCAGCAGCGGCGGCCCGTTGCAGTAGACGGCATCCTGACTTACAGCCTCTTTGGGGGAAAGAAGAGGAGCCAAGTGATCAGAAAAACTGTGACTATAAAACAGATTCAGCTGGAGCAGGACAGTGGCAAGAGTCTCCACGATGACGTCCGCAGCCAGACCCTCATAGACCTCAACAGAGCAGGTAACATCACTCACTCTGTGTCCGAAGATTAAGGGTTGTGTCTGCTGATATTCTGTATTTTTATCATGGTCAGCTACATTGTAGACAAATCTCACAAGAACAATCTACTGTGTATTGTCTGTGGAGTCATTGTCTGTGGAGTTATTGCCCCAAACCAAGCACATGAATGAGCCTCACTATTGCACTGGACGACATGTTGCTTCAGTACCAAGAAGATGGCCACTGTTTGTTGTTGTTTTTAAATCTGACATATGCCAAGCTGCTCGCAAAAGCACTCACCAGAGAACCAAATGGGAATTCATATTGATGACTGTCTGGATATATTTTCGTAAAAGCACATTGCACAGCTCTTTTGGGACATTGTTTAATCTTAAAGGAGACAAATGATGCTTTTTCAGTTTTTCCTTTTCCTCTCTTTGTATGTAAAATATCCACACAAATAATTCTGCATCAAGTGTTTTCTGAACATTAGAGCATGTAAAGTTTTTCAAGTGATAACACCAATTAAAATTCTGAACCTAATATGTGCATCCTTTAAAATATTAAACTATCTTTTAAAAATATCTTGAGGAGGATTAATTGAGTTTGGGGCTGAGAGCAACAGTGGTTTCAGACAAACACAGTTGGTTTTGGTGTTTTCATCAACTTTATTGATGTTAAGACATATTTAATAACATCTTCCCAATATATTAATAATGGGAAAAGAAAATTCAAACAAATGTTATTCTATAGATTTAAATGACTTAATAAAGCAATAGCTTGTCTTCACATTCATCAGGTGTAGGTCTAATGGAGCTGGTGATGGAGCCAGACATGTGCTGTGGAGAGGAGGCTGCTGCAGCTGTCAGGGAGCTTCAGCTCATCCTGCAAGCCTTGGGCACCTGTCAAGGCAACATGTCTGGTATGGAAATCGCTTTCCGTCGCTGTGTCTCTGCCCGCCTCTCTGTGTCTTAGTTGCCATTCTGTACCTCTAAACCAAAACCTATTTCCCTCACGGTGGGCATGTTTCCCTCCCCTCTTTTTCCTCAGAGGGCCAGCTGAGAGTAGATGCCAACGTGTCCGTCCACACACCAGGTGAGCCCCTGGGCATCCGAACAGAGGTGAAAAACATCAACAGCATCCGATTCCTGGCCAGGGCTATTGGTAAGCACCATAGAAAGGTTAGGAGGATAGTCGGAGAGTGTGACAGACATTTAGTGAGGTTGTTTGAATGCTGTTCCATCTGGGTAGATCTTACAGTACAGTATTATTGCTCACACACCTGTTCTGAAAGCAAAGACCTTTTGGTGAGTGAGTTTACATTTGCATGCTTTGTCACCCTCGAAAAAAAAAGATAAGAAACAACCAGTGGATGAATGTTTCTATTTACATTTACTGTGCATTAAGTGACACATTTATGCGATGGGCTTGTTTGCCCTCTCACCAAGTTAGATGAGTAGATTAGTGGGAAATAGCCCTGGTCTAATGCAAAATTAACTAAATCTGCCTTCCAGCACCCCAAAACTCAATCAACACATTTGATCTTATGCTAACATTAGCATTAATAGCTGTTTACGTACCAGTCTATAAAAAAGTTCAACACCAAACTCAAAAGGTTTTTGCGCTATACTCCTTCATCCTCTCGTATTGGACTGAGTAAACATGTTTTTTGTTGAAATGAAAACATTACAGTTGATTTATGAAGAGGAATGAAGACAGGAAGATGAGTTCATACTGACACTGACCTGAGAAGCATAAGTTTAACACTGACGGCCATTCACAAACAATTAGCTGTGTGATGGCAGCATGCGATGGGGAATTTTCTTCCCTCAGCCGTTCACTTAAGAAAAATAGATTTTGTGTCAACTCAAACTTAAGTGGTTGTTGATTGAGCTTCACTTAAAACGCTGACAAAGAGCCTCCTCCAGACAGATTTCTACTTTTTACTTTCAGGAGTGTAAGCTCACACTGACACACCGTGGTGCTGTGCTCGAGTCACTTATCAATAAAACGCTATCACGTTTAATCTGCTGCTGAACTGGTGTTTAAACAGTGATGGAGAAAAACATCATTCATCACAGTTATAATGTGGCAGCAGTCAGAGACCTGAGGATTGCCAGTGTGCTGCAGCAGATGTTTGGCATTTGTCATATAATCGTGTTTGTGCTTCACCACCATCAGAGTCTGTATTTATGTTAATGTCGCCTCTTATGTCACCAGACTACGAGATTCAGAGGCAGATCAATGTCCTGCAGAGAGGAGGGAGGGTGCAAAATGAGACCCGGGCATATGATTCCAAATCGGGGTAAGTGGATGAGGGAGCTGGGCTGTGACTGGGATCTCTGCCTCATTCATTAGTTTCATCATCTGCCCCTTGACTCTCTTTCTCGTTTTGCTGTTTTGTTTTGAAATTACTGCACTTACAGCTCCTCCTTGCTTGTTACTTCAAGAGCTTCACATTTCAGTCCTTGAGTTGCCAGAATGTTATTTTCAGTCACTCATCCTCCTCCTGGCTTGGTTCCTTGTGTTTTTCCTCTATGTTTATATTTTTCCCACCGCCTATCAGACTTGTTTACAGTTTCGACCCCGAACTCGTTCACCATCTCATAAGCCTACGTTTCCGTAGTTTAATAAATCAAAGATCTGCATTTCCCGTGTTCCTGGCACATCTTGTGACAATTAGTCCTGAGCTTTGCTGAGGAGGACCCATCACGGTAATGATGATGAATGGAGCCATTTGGATGCCGCTGCCATCGTCTTGTGTTTTCTGTGAGCTTTGTGCTGGTCACAGGCTCATGAGCTCACAGACCGATCCAGCTCCCACACAGCCGAGTCATTGATCATCTTCTGGTGCTCTGCCTCATTCCCATGAGGCATTCTTGAATGTCCAAGGTCCATGGTGAAGCATGTTAAATAGCGTGTGATGGCCTATGATTGGCTCTTTCTTCCCGTTCCTGTGAAGGTGGCGACAGATCTGACTGAACTGGTTTGTGAACAGCTGGGCTGACTGAACAGCCTCACGACACACATCCCCAGAATTCTTTTATTGTGCTTTGATGTTGATGTTTTTCCTTTTTTTTTGGATTAGTTTTTTTAGAGGGTGAGCACTTTGATCTTCTGATTATCTTCTCAGTCCCTTTATAAATGATCAGTTTCCCACTGTGAAAGTTAACACATTCAAATCCTTTTATCTGCCCAAAAGTCTAAAATCCAGAGATTTTGACCAAACTATCTTAGTAAACTAAGAAAAAAACACGAGTCTTCATATTTTAGATGCACGAGTGACTTTTAAACTTTTTCAAATAATAAATAAATCACTCAACCTGTTGCCAAATTGGCCGAATGACTAATTTATGAATCGTTCCAGCTCTAAATAGTACTTAGAGATGTTCAGATTGTGACTGCTGTAAGAAATGTTAGTTTATAATATTTCCATGTTGTCTTACAGGGAGACGATTCCAATGAGGGACAAAGAGGGTCTTCAGGACTACAGGTGAGTCTGAGTTTGTTGTTTGTCTCTGTGGAGCTTGTGTTTGTAGATGTCTAGTTGTGATTTTAGGAGATTACCTTGATGTCTTTTGGGGGGTGAGGGCGCCTGAGTGGCAGCTAGACGGACAGAAATAAACAGATATCGCTCATTTGTGCATCTGTGTGTGTGTGTGTGAGTGTGTTTTTAGGAGGGGGGACGATAGATGGACAGTTATGAGGCTGATTGAGTCAAATTACTACAGGAGCAAGAGACACGTGACTAGTTTGGTGTCAAAAATGTCAATAAAAGCCAACTGCATCCTTTCTGAGTTTATCTGTGCTGCTGATAAGGCGTTCTCCATCTCTACCACCCCCTTCCAGGTTTATGCCGGAGCCCAACCTGCCCCCTCTGATTGTGTATGAGGATAACGCGTCGCTGCCCTCTGGCACTGATGCGTGCCAGATGGTGGTGGTGCAGAAGATAAGGGAAGGGCTTCCAGAGCTACCCAGCATCAAAAGAGACAGGCTGGTCCAAACATACGGCATCCTGCCCGAGCACAGCTTCACTCTGGTGGTGAGTTTATGAGCGGGCAAAGGCACTAAATCGGTTTCCCGCGTACTTTAATTGCCATCTCATCAAGTCAGTTTGGACGCAGTTCTGCTTGGATCCTGGAGGCAGCTCGATACCAGTCTCTGCTGGGCTTATTTGATAGTGATGAGATAATGTGCATGTGAGTTTTCGTGGCGTTTTGTTGCAGAATGAGGACGGGCTGGTGGAGTTCTTTGAGGAAGTGTTGAGGGCAACCAAGAAGGAGCCGCGGAAGGTGATTGGCTGGGTGACAAACGAGCTGCTGTGTCACCTCAAACAACAAGACATGAGCGTGAGCCAGAGGTGAGACAAATCCATCCATGTGATTTTATAATATTCATTTAATGCTAATTGTTTGTCTTGCAGATTTGATTTTTTTTTCCGACATAGCTCATGGATACAGTATTGGAATCATATTTAACAGTGGGGAACCTTCTCCTCCTTATCTGCAGCGTGGCTTCACGTAGAGTTAAACTTGGGGGAACTTTATTCACGTATTTGTGACCATGCCCTTTTTCTGCCTCCAATGCTCCAGTCTTAGATGTCATGTTAAACCTTTTTTAACGGGTATCCTTGTAGCTTAAGGGTTAAGACACTGACCATGAACCGCAGCATCATTGGTGGTTCAGCTCCGTCTTGGGGCCTGTTTTTGCATCTTTCTCCCATTTTCCTGCCGTTTCTTCACCGTCTCTAATGAAGTCATAAGATTACCTTAGAGAGAATACATTCACTCTCCAGATGCAGCCGGTGAGTGTCAGGCCTCTCTTCATTTTAAGGTGTCACAGGCTGCTGCCTCGAGGGTTTTAACTCAAGTGAAAAACTCTGATCCTAAAAGTGATTTACCACGTCTGCTATCAGCACTTCAGCTCCATGTCCTGTAACTCACCACTGAACTTTAGTCAGAGACACTTCAATGGGTTGTTTATAGCAGATGGTTATACAGTTAGATTGGCGTGAAAAGCTCTGCTCTGAGACGGAGTTCTCCAAAGTATCCCAGCAGCAAGAGGGGTTACATCCATTAAATTAATAACACCAAAAAGCATCGGAGGAGGAGACGGTGGTGGAAGGAACTCTGGCATCAAACATCACTTCTACGTGTGTATCAGCAGAGTGAATCTTCAGTCAGACCAAAGTTTGCCTGATAAAATTGACTCTCATGGTCAAAGCAGGGACACGATCCAGAAACATTGTGGGCATGAGCCAAGGAGGAACACGTCAATTCTTGGTGCGGATCCATATCAGAGGGTGGATGCAGGTTCACATTGTGAACAATTCTAGTTTCACTGTGAAGTTATAAGAGTATGCACCACACATTTCTTCACTGAAAGGTCAGTCCCAGCCCCCCGCCCCCACTCCAACTGGTTGTACACTGGAGACACTGATATATATATATATATTTTTTTTTTTTTCCTTATAGTCAACACAAATCACAAGTCACTTTCACCCATTCATCCAAATTCAACCAGTTCTCCACTCGTCTGGGTCAATTTTGAGTTCAGTATCTTGCCCAAGGACACTTCAAAATGCAGAATGGAGGTCCTGGGGATCGAACCATTGACCTTCTGGTTAGTGGTCTACCTCATAAGCCACAGCTGCACTGTCTGATGTTCAATTTACAAAGCAAGAAAAACAAATTATTGCCCATCCAATGAAAGTAGAAGCGCAGATCAACATGAGTTCTAACAACACTTTGTTTGATTAAATTCACTGTTATATCAGGTTTGATAACGATTCCAGCCCTCGACACACATTAATATTCTCAAACCCTCAGCTGCTCATGGTTCAATAGGAGATGCTGCTGAAATCTAACTTATTAAACTGCTTCCCTTCTATTCCCCGAGAAGGTTTGCTTTGGATTAATGAGCATTTAGCCACAAAAAAAGATTTAAGCCTCCCTGTGCTGTGCTCAGAATAAAGTGTTTATATTCATGTTACAGGTTCTGACTTCAGAATGACAACAAGTCAACCTCAGTAAGATAAAATAATTCAGTCTCTCCTCCATTAACAATTCTACACAGTTCTCTGATTTTAATGACACCAACGATTATTCGATTCTCACAAATATTGACAGGCTGTTTCATTCCATACAGCAGTAACATGTGCAACTTCATAAATCATCTGATATTCCCTAATTCTTCATGTCGGTCAATTTCCAAACCCTTTTGACAGCTCATTAGAGAAACGCCTGTGTAGACAAATTCAATAACATCAGTGAAATCATTTATTTTTTGGATGAAGTTGTTGTTTTGCTGAAGGCCTGTAAACTGGAACATGTGGGATTTCGTAAATGTTCCAAAACACTTGAAATTGAGTCTTTTCAGTATTTTGAAACAAAGAGAAATTGCCATCGTGGCTTTAGAAACTTCACTTCGGCTTGTTGAGTCCAACCGAGATCGGCAAAATAGATCTGTAATGATTTCTTAGAATAAAAGTCATAAAAGTCTCTGAGTCATTACAGAGAAAATGGAATTGAAACAACAGATGCCGTGGGCTTCACTTTATCAACCATTCCCAGACACATGAAACATTTGCAATGTAGCTGCACTTGTTTTCGGTGGAAGGGAGAGAGTCAGAGAAAACCAAAGAGTGGCCGGCAGGACTGTTTAAAACTTAAGGCAGAGTAGAAAACAGAGTCACTGAAGTGCTTAGAGAAACATAATTCAAGTGCTCAGAGTCAGGAGGAAGTAACTGAGAGTTTGGGTACCAAGTTAAAGGTCTTCAAGAGTTAGCCGTTAAAGGTTCAGTGTGTAGAATTTAGTGACATCTAGTGGTGAAGTTGCACGTTGCAGATGAATACCCTTCACCTCACCCTCCCCTTCCAAACATGACACCTGTGGTAGCTTCTGTTGTCATAAAAACTCAAAAGGTGTTTAGTTTGTCCAGTCTGGGCTACTGTAAAAAACATGGCAGCCTCCATAGAGAGGACTCGCTCTTTAAGGAAATATAAAGTATTTAAATATAAAGGTAAAGAAAACAACAATTCGTACGATTTAGATGAAACACAAGTGAGAACATCACTGGGATTATTTAAATGTCTGCCAATTCCTTTCACACACTGAACCTTTAAGAACATCAGCTCCTTTTTTGCTCATACCATCAAAACTTTTTTTGTGTCTGTCCTGTCAAACATGCCCACATCTGATTCTTCGCCCGTCTGGTTCCAAGCCCTTCAGAAGTGTAAGAGAAATGAGAACTCGTGAAGCACAGTGGTCAGACCGAGAGAAACTCCAGACATGTCATTAAGAACTCGTCCAGACGTTTCCACCGACTGAGACAAGTCTCTCCTCCAGGGTTTCCTCCGAAAAAAGTAGCTGCCTGAGAGAAACTCACTGCAGGGCCGGTGGAAGATCTGCTGCAGGGTGGTGACAAGATGGTGGCACAATTGTGAAATATCTCACCAGGCCAAATATATGCCACGTTAAGAATGTCAAAGATTTTAAAACACAAATGTAATGAAGTTTGTTTTAAGCTCCATCATTACTTTTGGTTAACTCATTCAACCGTGTCAGTTGAAAAGTTTATTGATTACTTTTGGCTGTTTCCAATTAGCCTTTCCTTAAGCTAACTATTCTAATTACCATGTTTTTATCAAACATTTCATTACTTTTAGCTAAACTGTTGATCCATTACTTTTAGCTATAATTATTTTAAAAAGTTAATCCACACTTTTTAAGTAGCGTGCATTATATCAACTGTTTATTAACTTTAGCAGTACTTTTACTAACCAACTGCTGTAGCTAGTTCAACTTATCTTCTGACTAGTTTTCACCGATCCAACTCCAACGTGTGATCCTAAAGTGTCACAGCTGGTTAAAGATAATATCAAATATATACTTTATGTCCCTATGGGGACATTTGTTCTGGGCCTGGTCCTGTAATTCTACAGAGGAAAATATTGTGTGTATCACTGAATATATATGAGTGCACATATACAACAGTTTGCATTTACACAACTAATAACAGCAACATATTGCACAACCCTTGCAGCTGATCATGATCTGACATGTTGGTGTTGAGAAGCTGAGTGGACACAGGCAGGAATGAATGTTTACAGGGAAACTAGAAACCAGATGGTAAAAGCTGGAACTGTGGATGGAAAATGTGATCAGACACTGTTACTCGTCTGATGATAGACTGACTAGATTAGAATAATAGCTTATTTAGTCATGGAAATGTACTAACAGCTCTCAGAAGTTCATTTCCCCTTCAAACACCAAAAAGTCAGGATATATTTTGATCAAATCTGAAATTTCTAGTTGAAGTAATTGAGCTTTCCTGTGAAACTGCAAGTAACCTTCATCAGGAGTCAGTGTTTAAACAACCGGCCACATTCATTTGTGTTTGTAAAGATGGAAACTTCTCATCATGTGTCTGTGTCGTGTTTGGAGGAGGTTTAGTGCAGATGGACTGTGACTGAAACTGCATCTCCACTTAATATTTTCTAACAGGCTTTTTGATTCTATCTGTCTGGTTGCCCGAGGAATAAACAGCCAGACGCTGGCAAGAAAAACACATTATAGTCAAATCACAACAGTTGATAGACTCTCGTGTCCTTTTTGTCTGACATTCTCTCTCTTTTTTTCTCTCTCTGTCACCCCCTTCATTTGTATCACTTATTCAGTGCATTCAAATGTAATTAAACTAGCCGTTCATCTGATTTCAGCCCCGTCTCTCCTGCTGCCCTGGCCGAGCTGCTGGAACTGCAGGAAACAGGACACATCTCCTCTTCAGTTGCCAAACAGGTCAGTCAGCTGCACAGACCAATTATCCCCCTTCTATCTGTCACTCACTACACAGATCCGCAGCGAGTGCTTGTTTGTATTCTGGTAATCACCTGCGTCTCACCGCCTCCTGCTCACTCTCAGGTGTTCCAGGAGATGTGGAGGTCATCAGGCAGGACGGCCTCGCAGATCATCCAGGAGCAGGAGCTGGGGCTTGTTAGTGACGCTGCGCAGCTGCACAGCATCTGCCAGAAGGTGGTGGACTCGCATCCTGAAGAGGTGAGGGGCTCACACACGATAATTCCCACTTGCAATTACTTTTTTTTTCTAAATGTTCGTTTGCTGTGCCCCTGCGTAGGTTAGAGCCATCAGAAATGGAAACAAGAAAGTTCTGAACAAACTGATGGGCCTTGTTCAGAGAGAGACCAAAGGTAGAGCCGACCCAGTTCTGGTGAGGGTGATTCTACAAGAGAAGACTTTGTGAAACTCGGACTGATCTGCAAGACACAACTACTGTATATACCTTAAAGAAGAAGAAGATATATGACAAAGATGTTGATGCAGATCTGACTAATCATATATATATTACATACCTATATAATGACCTGGTCATCGATGGGTTGATAAAACTATTGATGGTCAAGCTGAAATTGAAGCCGCCGCCCTCAGTTCCTGAGAGGTTGACTTTCTGTAAATACTGTACAATGTTTTCACTGGACAACAGCAGCAGCTATCTTCTGTGTGTGATATTTATGTGTCCAAAGCGTGATAAAGCTTTTTAGATCATTACTCTCTGAAAATGTTTTATACTGCATGTTCAGATAACGATCTAATATTAAAATATGATAAAACCACACAAAGTGCTTAAAAAAGGGAGAAACAGTGGATGTGCAGAGAAAATATAATGATAACATCAACAGAATTATATGAATGTATAAATATATAAAAAGGATTAATAAGCGTAAATAAGTGCAAATGGCAGAAATGGTTCTGACAGTGAATGTGTGACTGGTCATGATGGTCAACTGCTGATGTCAGACTCTCATCAAGAGAAGCAACAGTGACGGGCATGAACGCAATCAGTGAGCGCCCTCTTGTGGTTGAGCCACATAATACTTTCTACACAAAGGTCCATTAAATGTGGATTCTCACTGATCTTGAGGTGCAGAGACTTTGCTTGACATAAACGTTTGCATACAATGTTCAAATGTGTCCACGAAACAATGCATTTCATATAAAGGGAAAATGGCTGATCATCGGTTCAGTAAACATTCAGTCAAATGCAGAAATGAAGTCCAAACTATTACAGCAGCTGTTCCCCTGCAGACAAATTACATCTTCCATATTGGACGAATTTCATTTGAGTCTCATTCTCCATGGGAACGGACATGTTTTGCGGACATGCTGCAGCAGTAACAGTCTGTTGCTGCTACACACCCTCTAAAACCGTGGGAGCTCTGCCATGACGATATGTCTGCACTTGTTTCTGGAGACTTTTCATCAGCTGTAGTGCACAACTTTGAATTTTCTATCTACAGTCCACGATGTGACGATAGATGTGGGATGGTTGTGACGCTGCTTGGTATTTTTGACATAAGTTCAGTAGTGACAGGAGGTGGCAGCTTCCAGTGCACCAGGATTTGCCTGATGCAGAAAATAAAAACAGTGTTTTCTCCAACAGTTTATCCCACACTGACTTATTTTCATGTTTTTTGACGCAGGTAACAACATCTTTGACTGACGGGTATAAAATAATGCAATTTACTCTGCTAAAAAAAGATTGATATTGCGCTCATGAGCTGTCAAAAGGTTCCATCACAGTTTGCACGTAAACAGAGGAGGTAAACTCCTGTGAGAACGAGACCTAGTTTTGAGCTAAATCTCTCTGCAGGGAATGTTCATGAAGGGAAATGTGCATCAAACAAGAACTTCAATATGCAACAGAGCAAACAGCTGCAAAACCACCTCTGGCAAAAACGGAGAGAATATATTCAAGTGTGAAAGCAGCAGGTTTTTAAAGAGGAGGAAACAATGTCCGGTTTCATTTAGCAGAAGTTGTCTTTATTGAAAGAGGCATGACTTTGCATCGCAGACGTCAGCAACAAACATCAACCTGATCACTTCTCCGACAGAAAACTGAGGCCGGATCACAGAGGGTGAGGCTTTGGATTCTTAAGAGACAGAAACGAATCTATAGCCTCGTTGTGTTGGACCCGTTTTCACACCACAGAAACAGTGATTGTCATACGAGCTGCTGGGCGTGTTAGACTGAACCTGTGCTGGTTGAAAGGCTGTGTCAGTACGAAACGGTTGATAAAGTGCTCTGCGACATTCTTTTACCAGAGAAAGAAAAAAAACATGGTCTGATACAAATATACGTCTCCAAAAAACACAACTATCCTACAGCATAATTCATCACCTGCATAGCAACAATTAGAATAGGATGGATTTCACTAAGAACAAAATACACATTTCAAATTTAAAACATAGTAATAATTGAATTTATGAGAGGACATCATTGATTGAATCACTGTGCTACTGCTATTTCTCTTTCTGTAAATCATTCCTAGAAAGGTGTTTACCCAAAGCTGTCCATTATCTTAGTTACAGAAATGTAAGTGAATGTTTTTAAATGTCCACATTACATGTTTTACATCTTTATATAAAATTATTGGATGAAAAAAATATGGCGACTGCTTTCTTTTGCTTCCAGAAACAAAATAAATAAAAAACAATATATTTAATTTACACTAAAACAATGGACAGCTTCCAGTAAAACATCATCACATTATAAAATATCACATCACTCCTTTGCAAATTAAATCTCAGGCAATAATGTGAACTAAAAATCACAATTTAGGCACAAATTTAAAACTATTTCTGTCCTGGTAAATTATTTTAATAGAGGCAACCTTTATAACAAAATAAATCTCTCTTAATATATAATTTTAATAACCATGTTAACTCAAATAAAGGCAATTTACAACAACAGGTTCCCCTGGAAACGCCTCAGTCTGAGATGATTTTCAACAGATGCAAAACTACAACTCTCCCATCATAGATATATCTGATCCATCACAACTACAACACCCAGAAGAAAGTGACGACACAATAGAAACCTCTAGTGTGAAGAAACAACGTGGCAATAAAAACTCTCAAAAAGCTTAAATACCCAGCCCCCTTCTGAAAATAACCTAAATTCATTTATACCCAAAATATCCTTGATTTGCATAGAGTTCTGTTACAGTATGTACATTCTAAAGCATCACTGACATAAGGCAAATCAATAATAGAAGAACAATCTGGTTTTTTTTGTGCTGTTGTCTTGAGAACATGTGCAGCCCCGTTAATGTGAGAAACTAATGCATTGTGGGAAAGATACTTCACCCAAAGGCTTACAGAACAGAGAGAGGAGGACGTGCATCGAAAGACTCCTGAGGTACCGTCATCATCGTGAACCAACAGAAAAACACGAAACATAGTTGACGCACGACGACGTTGGAAACACCACGAAAAAAAAAGAGACCAATGTTTTCACCAGAGCTGCTTTCAGACACGCACTGAACTCTGGACGTTTTCATGAAAAGGTTTCCGGTTTGTGACAATGCAAATGTTCGACCATGTGAGAATACAGCAGGAAAATATCCGAAAAATTCACAAGATGATGTTTCTGACACGCGACTAGGAAGAATATATATTTTATTTTTAAATATCTCGACTAAAAGGAGATGCCAAACACGTAGAAGAAAAAAAATTCTCGTGAGATTTCGGAGCCCCCCCTCGGACATTCTCCCGTTGCTGTGAACGCGTCTGACTCTGACAATCTCCTGCTGTGTTCTTCAAATGTGAAAGGCTAAACTCTGGGAAACGTCCGGAAGCAACATTCTGGACATTTTTCTGGATTTCATGTCTGAAAGCAGCTTAAAAGTGATGAACAGAGGACAGGATGTGTTTCTGTGATGCTGCCAGTCTAAAGCTGCCAGCTGCAACAGTGAGAATGAAAATACGTCTCCATGCTGATGAGTCCGAGGTGCGTAATCCCCCGGCAAAGAGGCAACGACGCCCCAGAAAGGCCACACAGAACGAGGGCAGTTCAGATAACGACTGTTAATTCTCTCTCTGCAGTCTTTGGTTGGTCGACCTGGACCTCGCCTCCATGAGCTTCATTCTTGTGGTGCAGATGTTCCAGCTCAACGTGTCGGACCTCACACTTCACAGAACTAGAAAACATGAATTTTTAAAAAGCACAAGAAAGTGATTATCTTTGCTCGGAAAATAAATATGCTTCTCAAAATAGTTGTATAAATCGTTGTATCTACGAGGTTTCTTCATCAAGTAGCGCCTGGAAAAAAATAGAAAACCACCATGAAACAGTCTTTTAACTCTTCTGACTCGTCACAGAGGCCTTTTGGGACATTTTACTCTTCCATAGGAATGTAAGATAAGATGGAGTGCTCTTGTGCAATCGCAGCCAGTTCTTTGAGGAACTCCGTGTAGAGGACGGTAGCGAAGACTTCTGTCCGGTCCAGAGAGATGGCTTTGGGTTTTGGTGGCGGCGAGTTCTTAAGGATCCCCCCCGCCTCGCCATGGGTAGAGCCGCCGCCGCCGCCGCTTTGGTTTTTATCTGAGAACACAAAGAGTTAATTTGTTACAATGCCTACGTTGGAATTGAAGATGTTTTGCAAATCCAACATATTCCCGCTGATGATTTCTCCATTTATAAATAATTGAATTTAAAAAGTAGGATCTGCTTGAAAAACGTAAGGAAACTAAAAAATTCTTTTTAAAATCCCCTTTTCAGTCTCTTCTCATCTTTCCACAAACACACTTCCAATGTTATTTGCAGCTCGTACAACTCCGAGACCGCAGGGACTCTAGTTCAAAACCAGGCCGAAAAACTCTGGGGCTTAGCCGAGGCGGCTGCTGAACTGCAAAGACACACGACTTAACAAAATCAAGTAGAATTTATTCTTGTTCCCAACTGGACCCGGATCACGGACCAGTGGTTGAATGCAGATGTTGTTTTGAACCGTTTCCGACGAGTTGGTGGAATCGAGGAACTCAAAAAACAGGGAAGTGTTTGTTTACTGATCGTCATGTTGAGTCAGAAATGTTCCCAAAGATTCACCAAGAACGTAATCTCATCTTCAACCAGACATAACTAATGAAGTATTACATGTTAGTGTCTAAATACACTCATTTAGAATTTAGATAAAATCCCAAAACTAGCAAATGAAGCAGAACGTGAGAGAGAATTATTAATGTTCTGGAACAAACAAGTGAATATTTGAATTAGAGTGGATTGAGGTTGAAAATACTAACGAGCATGAGTCAAACTGTTTAAGAGCCAAACACCCAGTTACTGAATAAGCTTCTCAACATGAGTCATGTGGTTTCAACATTTCACAACATTTTAAACAGTAGAACATTTCTGAATCAAACTAAGTAGCTTATTGAATTCTACACTGCTTGGTTTTTTTTCCCGAATGTTATTGTTGCAAAACACGTGCTGTAAAAATACAGACGGGGTTTTCCAACATGTGAGAAGAAAGAATTTGAGAAGTTGTAAGTGTCTGTGGGTGTGTTGTTACCTGCTGCCATTAAAGTCTCCCTGGCCAGCAGCCAGTGCTGAGCAGTGGTGATCAGCTCTGGAAAGTCCGTTCTGGTGGCAGCCAGCTGTTCTATCTGGTTCTTCACTGTGGCGAGTACCTGGTAAAAAAAAAAAAAGAACCGCAGGATTACATTCACATAAACTAATGGGAACAACTTTAAAATCCAAGTGCTGCAGACTTAATGATGAGAGGAAGCCGTCTTCACTTCATCTTACTCACAAGTGCTCAGATTCTTCGCTCCTGAAAAGCAGCCTGCATGTTTCAACATCTTTCACTAATCTGTTTGATGACTTGATGTTGCACCAGCCTCAGGAGCAGGAGAGTAAATGAAAGGCAGAGTCCTGCCCGCACATGCTAACACACACTCACACTCTTCTTTGTTACCTGGTACAAGGAGCGAACAGTCGGCTGAAAGACCAAGTTGGTGTTGAGAAGGAAGGAGCGCAGCAGAGGCTGAGGGTAGGCGGCCAGCTGAGCCAGGATGCCCGTCAACAGCAGGTTGACATAAAGCGAGTTGGAGAGCATGTTCTCCAGACGAGACAGCAGCACGCTGACAAACGGACCTGCACACAGACTCGTTATCAACAATCTTGCAGTAGCAGATCTAGGATTTGTCTATATCAGGGGCCATAAAGGGGGCCACAATATCACAGTTATATGTCCAACATTCATGAACAATCTCTGATTTAAGGAACAGTAGTCTACCTCAAAAAAACTGAGAAGATAAAAAATATTAAGAAATTGTCTTAGTTATTGTTAGAAAGTGTGTATATATACAGTTTATACAGTATATAAAGACTTGTGGCAGGACAGTGGAACTAACCGTCCCTGTTTAATCCCTTAACTGACCTGTGAAAGGCACTGAATGGCTTCTACTTGTGCTTCCGCTATGAAACTTGGTCCCAAACGGTGATTGTAGTTTCTCTGGTTCGGGTGTCTCGGCGGAGAAGGAGGTGAAATCCATCTCCTCCTCTTCCTCCACAGGTGGGACAGGCTTTTTCAACTCTCCATCAGCTTGACCCGGTTTCCCGCCCGCTTGCGTGTCCAGCGTACGAATGAGCTCCTCGTACTGAGCCAACAGGTCGTCGCCCAGCTCTAGAGCAGTTGTGCTTTGGACGTTTGAATTACAATCCGTTTGAACTTTGGCCTTTGCGTCCGAGCTGTTTTTGCCCTTATCGGACATCACAGCGGCTGGAAGTGTCAAACTCAATCCATTTTTTAAGGGAACTTCTGCTGAGCCTGGTTGGACGACCTCTGATTCCGACCCCTTGGACTTACGCTTCCCACGCTCGACATCTCTGGCGTCTTTCTTGGCGACAAGATCGTACACCATGACATCATCCTGGAACTCGTTTTCCTCGATGTACGAGCCGTTAACTAACATGATGGCCGTTCTCCTCATCTCCTGGATGTGCTTCGGGGTCTCAGCGAGAGGCAGCTGTGGAGGTTTACTCTCCACGGGAGCCTCTGCCGTCTGCATCGTACACACGTCGTAGCTATCGTCCCACTCCAGCTCCAGCTGGTTGACGGAGGGTGGCTCGGCACTCGGCGGCAGCGGACAGAGTCGAGGGCGCGGCACCAGCTGCTGTGGAACTCTCTTGAGTGCCATCTGGGTTTGTCGACTCTTGAGCCAGGGCTCCTCGAGGACGCCGGGCTGGTATTTCTCAGGAGGGGGGTCCTCACCATCATACAGTGCCGACCACACCTGGCAGGCCCGTATGCAGCTGCTGATGCCGAGATGGGCGTCGTAGAGGTAATGAAGGTAACTGACATCCAGGTAGATTTCTGACCCGATGGTGCAGGAGTTCTCGTCGTCCTCTTCTGAGAAACTCTCTCTTTCCTCTGGGAAACACAGATAGGAAATGTTGATAAAAGCTGGCGACTCACTGCAGCGCTCACACGGAGCAGAACTAATGACTTTGACACGTCTCTGCGGGGGGGCCAAGCGATGTAATACAGCCGAACAGCAGGAGATCTCACATTTTGATAAAATACTCATCATCAACCATGTTGTACGTTTATGTCCCAATTATATGCAGATCAACAACTTCACAGCGCACAGATCTCAAACCATATGTTTCAACAGATTTTCTGGAAATGTACGGTTAATAAATCATACTTTTTATTAAAATCGTTTTGTTCAGACTTCAAAACTGTCACAGTGAGTGACTTCTAATTTTCCTCTGCTGTGTCGTTTGCTGTTTTGTTTTGACTGCGCAACACGTCTAACATCCACTCACTCTAATGGGATTGTGAACAGCAAAATCGGCTGCACAAATTCTCCTTGCAGCTGATTTGACAGAAGCAAAAGCCGATGAAAAATACTGACACAAAGCAGTCATTCATTTTGACTCATCTGTAACATTTTTAGGCTTTCATGCTTCTCAGAGCTTCTCCCAGGCTCCATCTAGGAGAAGCTTTCAATGTGGGTAAAAGGATAATTCTTATTTACGATAACTTGAATCTTAATTTTGTAAATACAAGCATCACTTGCAGTGTTCATTTCTGAGATTTGGGAGCGCAGCAGCATCACAAAGAATTTAAATAGGGACAGAAATAGAAGAAAGCTTCAATAAACCAGGCAAATAGTTCCTTTAACGCTGCGTCCCTCTTACCTGTGGAGTCCAGGTTAGCGGCGGCCTCTGCACCCTTGGAAAAGAGGATGGATTCCAGCTGCCGGAGGGGCGGCGGGCTGTGATCGGGGGAGCAGCAGGTCGGCGTCAGTGCTAGGAACTTGGCCGCAGACACTGAGTAGCAGTCCCTCTCCCTCACCACGCGTCTCTGACTCAACATCATGTGATTACAGGGGATCAGGTACCTGGGGAGGCAGACGGGAGCGGATCCTGTTAGAAAAAGCAACGGATTGTTGTAGGAGGGAGAGGGCCGGGGGGGTAGCGAGCAGACAGATGGTAACACGAGTCGGCGCGGTGGGTGGTGGGGAGAGAAAACTCGTCATATCATAAACCAATTAGACATACAGAGTGTGTAACAGGGATAAAGGCCTGCGAGCCACTCACCTCAATATGAGCTGCAGCATCACGTCTTCACAGTATAAGCCAATCAGAGTGCGGAAGAGAGCCAGTGACACGGTGCCCAACTGGAGAGTTCAGTGGAAAAACAAAATATAACATATTACAACAAATACAGATGACGAAACGGTTTCACATGTCGTTTTTTTACACATGTACGTGCTCTGAGCGGTGTCTGAATTACTAGATTAAATATTCTACCTCTATTTGGAGTCTGACAAAAGAAACAAACCAGAACAGTTTTAACTCATTTCTGATATTTTATAGATTCAAAGATTAGTTAATTGATCTGAAAATTATCATATCTAATGACGATGACACTGAAAATGGATGAAATAACAGTTTATTATAAGAGTTTTCCCTTCAGTAAAAAGTCTGTCACTTCTAAAACTGACTCAAACAGCACGAAGCTGAAAAAAAACAACCACTTCACTACTTAAGAGGATGTAAAGGTAAAAGCAAAGTGTGATACATTGCATGTTAGTCGATGTTTTTCTTGGCTCGACATCAAAAATGTGAGGAGCAAACAAGTTCCTTATTTTTCACGGAGCAGCAGAGGGAACTCCCCGAGACATTTACACAGTCAAAGAGCAGCGTAAAGAGCACATGACTTATTCATATCCACGCTTCACTTCTACTAAAATATTGGAACAAGACGTACGGTTTAAACTGCTGAGATCAGCTGGTTTCACTAACAGGATAAGTCAGAGCGACTGAGCGTCACCATGGCAACAATCGCACAGCTTTGAAAAGACATTTGTTCCAGCGAGTCCCAGCGTCTCCGGGGTCATTTAAAAAAATCAGAAATATGCTCCTACTAGGTGAAATGCGCATTTGTGTTTTCAAGAGAATCACTTCTGTCCTGAAGCCGTACCTGGAAGGGGGTGTTGATGCGGCTGACCAGGGTATCCAGGATGTGGACGCTCTCGTGTCGGTGGAGGAGGATGAAGGAGAGGAACGTCTGCAGCAGCGCCGGCTCAGAGACACTTCTCAGGAAGAGGTCGAGGTACGCCGTGGTGGTCATCACCTCCTCCAGGGTCAGCTACACAGAGGTAAGAGGAGTCATTAGTGAGAGATGAAAGCAAATGCAACAATTTAAAGTATTAAATGAGGAATTATATTACCAACAGGGGCAGCACTGTGGTTTTAATATTTCATGTCCTGGTTAGTGATTTTAAATTAACAGTTGCTCCCCTGTCTGCGTGTTAAATGTGAACTTACAGGATATACAAATAAAGCTACAGCTGCATGAGTTTGCCACCAAGGAAGTAAATAGAAGTAAAGAGTGAGTTTAACTAACTAAGGTTTTAGTCTCTTATTCATGGGCAGAGAAAAACACTTACTCTGCATTTTATTTACATGACACATATATATATATGTGTCAGAGGCCTGTCCATGCCTGGTGCTAGGCTTCATTATTTTTTTTAATTGCCATAAAAAAATGTATTCAGAAGAAGAAGCTAAGAGAAGAAAATAACTGAGGTGAAGAGCAAATGTTTCATTCAGAGGAGCATCAACCTTGTGCAGAGCCGGAGCGAGGACTGGCACGAGGAATCCGTTGTAGATGTAACTAACCAGCTGGTCTCTGATGACAGGGTGGGCCACCTGGGAACAGCCAATATCAGGGCACATGTCAGTCGAAGAATGCCGTCAAGCAGAAGGCAGCATCCATTACCAACGTGTGAATACATTTCTCATGTGGCAGAGTGGTGCGCTCGCAGCCTCGTCTCACGTGTTCACCTGAATGACTGCGTTACAGAATTCCAGCGAGTTGAGGAACTGGACGAGGGACGGCATCTGGAGCCAGTCCTCCCTGTGGAGGCCGTGCCACTCATCACCGGGGACGTCCAGCTTGGTGGGGAGGGATGAGTACAGGCCGCTCAGCCCTGTGGCCAGCACCTGATATCAAATACAGTGATGTATTAGATATGGTGACAAGCTGACATTTTATGGGTTAACCATAAACTTGTAATTATAAATTAAAAGAAAAACGCAAATACAAGAAAATATATTAATGTGTATATCAGTAAAAATAGCAGCCGGTCGGTATACGTATATTACACATAAATGTATATATTCATTTTCATATATTTTTCACTTTGTGTACATATTGATCTATGTGCGTGTCCCTGTATGTATGCAGGATCAACTAAACTTAATGAGCAATAAGTAGAGGCAGGAAGCAGAAGCAGAGTTGGTGGCACAGTTTTCCGAACATGTTTTCTGAACTGTTGTGGATTGCACAAAGATCTGAGGATACTTTTTGAAAACCCAGAGATAAGCAGCTGAATTTTATGCTGATTATGTTTGTGTATCACATTTTTTTCTATGATATAATTGGATTAACAAACTCCCTTTTTGCTTTCATAAGGACTGTGAGCTTTGTGGGTATGAAGAAACAGGCTCATGCTCTGGTTCTACAACAGGCCTCATCTCATACATGTTTTCTAAAGGAATATAATCCAATGTAAAGTGATTATAGAGGAAATAATGCTCTTCATTGCGGATTAATGAGGAAGTTTATGCACAATTCTGTGATGTCAGGTTCACAGACTTATAACAACAGACTCACTACAATGAAACATGTTGTGAATGATTACACTGTTATGATGATGTAATGCAAAGCACAGCAGCAGCCGCCCAGCTCCTCCTTTCACAATAAAACAGCAAACATAAGGATTAATGCCTCAGAAAGGTCAGCTCCAGAAACTAGATATCTGAGCATGAACAGGTTTAAAGGCTGATAACACTTGTGCGATAACAACCATGATAAGGTAATAAGATCCAACAAACCCTCCACATGACGAATGGACAAAATGATTTGTCTTTCTTTTATCAAGTAGGTCTCAGTATTTACAAGGCAGGATTTTTTTTTTTAAAAACAACAGAGCCTGTAACAGCTCAGTCCAATTTCTCTGTAAATGAGTGGATCATTAGTGTGGCAGTGATGTGCACGTCCTCTATAGGATTATCCTTGCAGCCTGCCAGTGGAACCAATTAAACACACGCTCCTGTTATTCAGCTGGCATCTCATCAAAAGACATTTTTCACTGCTCAGTCTGCAGCTGCGGGTAAATGCTCATTTCTACATGGGATTTGCTCACGACCGTGCGATAATCTTATGAATGCCAGACATTTGTAACGTTCAATGCCAGAGATGGTTTAACCTTGTTTTGAGTGGGTCCATGAATGCATCTGCATATTTTGGTCTACAGGGGCTCAGAAAAGTCAAGGTAAATTAATTAGTCCACCGAAGGACTGGGATTATTAAGGATAGAAGAATGAATTTTACAAAGAGGTTGAATTTTACGCTTGGCACGTTGGTGCAGCGGTTAGCAGCACTGTCACTTCATAACAAAAAGTTTCTTGGTTGAGATCCCAGTTCTGCCCCTGCCTGCGTGGGTTTCCTCTCTACCAGTGTGTGAATGGTTGTTTTCTGTCTGTTGCTCTTTTGAGACATTAACTCTGGAGAACTTTGCACAGTTGGGTCTGGACTTTCTTTTTGTTTGAGTTTCACACATAAACAACTCAGCAGGAGATTCTTCATCAACAACACAGAAATCCCTGGAGCGTGCAGGTGAGCGGTGGAACAGCAGGCAGAGGCAGGGTGCAACGTTTTCACTTTTTTACTGATTGTAAAAACATCAACAACACACCCACTCGCTCACAACGAATTGCCGGAGAAGAAACTCATCATTAGTGACTGACCGGACAGAAGAAGGTGTTCTCTGCGATGTGTTTGGCCACTCGCTCGTTCTCAGCAGACAGCGACATGATGAGCAGCAGAGCGTCTCTGGCCTGCTGGCCCACTGTGCCCTCCCTGTGGATGAAGGGGATGAGGAGGGAGAAAATGAGGAAGTTGGTGGCTCCCTGATCCTCGCTGGTGTGGAAAAACAGCTCCAGAACCGAAGGGTCCTTCGCCAGAACGCAGCACAGCAGGTTGAGAAGCAGCACCAGCTCGGCCTCGACCGAAGGCGCCGCCGTGCCCGAGCAGGACGACAGCAGCATCATGAGCGGCCGCAGGATGGGTTTGTGATGCAGCAGCGGCTGGTGCGCCTGCCCCACCAGCATCTCGTACATCTTCAGCTGCTCCAGCTTCATGTCGTCTGTGAACTCCCTGCGCAGGCTCCACACAAAGAGGCGCTCCATCACGTTCTCCATCACTACAAACTCCAGGATGGGGCCCATGGCGCCGGCCTGACCGCTCTCCTCCTCCATCAGCAGGAACAGCATGTGCTCCACATAGTTCTGCACCGCGTTCGCCTCGTCTCCGGGGACGGGGCCAAAACGAGGACCGCTGCTCAAACCGGCGCTGAGGTTGATGGCACTCAAGGAGGACAGGGTGGAAGTGCTGCGCAGGGGATCATGCTTCTCTAGGATCTTCACCACCTACAGAGGACACAAGAGGATTATTACAGATCTCTGCAGTTCTATGTTATAATGACTGGAATAAATCACAACTACATGTCAACAGAAAGAGATGCAGAAAAAGCAATATATTTTAAAATTAGACTTTAAAATTAAACATGTTAGGAGACAATTTTAGTGGAAGATTTTAGTTAAGGGATATAATATTTAAATAAATAAATAAAAAATTAAGATTATTATAATAAAAACCACTAAATTTAAACTACTGTTTCTATATCTTTGTGTAACCTGTTTGTATCAGTGAGATTTTAATTTAGTGTGTGTCTCGTTGTTCCACTGCTGACTGATGGTCAGTGATACTCTTTTCAGATACATTCATTATCAAATATGAAGAAGGAATTGTATGAGTATTACTGTTCCCATAACATATTTGCTATATTGTTGATGTTTCATCCCTGGTACAAGATCTTATTTGAATAGACAGAGTTTTTAAACCATGTTAAATTAAATTAAATTTCTTGTTCCTCACAGGATGAGTGTCAAAAAACGATGAGGTGTAAATAAACCAGCAGCACAGTGCAGATAAACTCTGAGTGGTAGCACAGAGTGAAACAGTCCTTTGTGAGTCAGGTCCCTCCCTTGTGTGTCCGCTGCATAGAAACCAGAGTCACAATAAAGGAGCCAGTGTCCCCAGCCTGCTGCTGCTGCCATGACAATAACTGGCTGCGCACAAGCGAGCTGGGCACGGCTGATGGAAACAAGAGAACAGACTCTGTAATCCCTGCCTGGGCCCGATGGGGCCTGACCCAGAGGCCTGGGCCCTGGGGGTCTGTCCAGTTCCATCTCCAGCTGCTACTGAAGTGACAGGAAGGGGCCAGGTCTGAGGATCAGACAGGGATTTAGTGGACTTATGGACGGTGGTCTCAGGCTGCCTGCTGGTTTAATGCTGACAATACCAAGGTCAGCTGCACACAAGGTTTATTAAATCATGAAACGTGTTATTTCCAAAGCAGCTGCTAATAAGTGTTTATGTTTTCAGGAAAGCTCTGACAGATAATCTGAATTATTAACCAGAACATGGATCAAGTGACGGCTCCAGCTTTGAACATGTGACCGAGCACCGGGCTCAAGCTGAATGAACACCGAAGGATCCAGGTTTCGATTTTAAAACTAGGACAAGCTCAACAAAACGTCACCCAGGTAAATAACAACAGATGACATGATGGAGGAGAGGATTGTACACTCAAATGATGGTTCGATCCCCAACACCTCCTGTCTACATTCTGAGGTGTCCTTGAACCTTGACAGTGTACGAATGGTGTTTAATAGAAAAAGCGGCGCCTATAGAAGGTGAATGAATGCAACCTGGACTGAAAAGAACTTTGAGTGGTCGATCCGACTGGAAAACTGCATATAAATACAGTCCAGTTAATCATCATCACAGTGTCCTTCCTAACCCGTCAGATGAAATGTCACTGCAATCAGCAAAACTATACAATAACTATTCATCTATTATGTTTGTCTGGCTCTATCTACTCTTTGGACTAATGTCTGAGACCTGAAGCCGAGCCTGAAGATGTTTCAACATAAACTCCACACGTCACCAAACAGAACCACATTCACAAACTGACAGATTTACTGGCGGCAACGTGACATTAACCATAAATAGAATGAGTCTGAAATTCTGCAGAGCCATATTGACAAGTCACAAGCTGCCCACACACCATCTGTAGATTTCGTCTATAGATTTTTTTTGGCAGCTACGGCAACGCTCCGATCACTCTGCACGTCGGAGCAAACACCATGAACTCTGCTAGCGCCAGATAAGACAGAGCAAATGAACGTAAAGCTTATCTTTCAGCTGTGAAGCAGGCAGAGCTGAAGAGACGAGGCCAATATCACTTACAACACGTTACTCTGATGTCAAGGTTTTTTTCCGAACTGAAACCAAAGTCAAGAGGAGTCTTATCAGGCTACAGATTAACTAAGCAGGGAAAGGAGACTCTGTAGGAGTGGAGCTGTGCAGTCACTTCGCCTCAAGGGACAAACAAGAAAAAAATTCTAATCTGGAACTCAGAGTTCTCTGGTATTTTAGGCTACAACAACTTCTTACCCAATGTAAAGGAATGAAGTCAAATCAAGCAGAGAGTGATGAACATTAGCTGGAGTTTAGTTTTAGTGAACTTTTTTTTACCCCCTGACAGGAGGGTCGGACCCCCCACTGGCAGCCACTAACACACGCTTCTATCCCATCAATGCCTGGCCTGTGACACGGCTGCAGTTTGTTCAGGGAGTGTAACGTGTGTTCATCTCGGGGTGGGAGGAGCAGGGAAAGCCGGCTGCCAGGTCCCACAGAGGTCAACAGGGACAGACGCTGCTGCAAACATCCAAACATCTGAGACAGTCGGCTCCACACTTCCAAGATTACACTGGCTATGACCACCCTGCTGTTTGGTTGGCCTGGAGTTAGCTGGTTAGTTTGTCACTGTCTGCAGAAGCTGAATGTGAACAACCTTGCACTCATTGTATTTCCTGATGATGACGTGACTGTATGTGGGTCCTAAACTGCTGGTCTGATCTCCGTCAAGAAGTCCGGAGGGAGGTTAAAGACACTGGATAGTTATACCTCATCATAGTTTTTACTTTAAAAACAATCTATGGAGTGAAAATCTCTTTCATCAAACTCCTCACACACACATGCGACCTGGGAGGAAAGGAGTAGTTCAACATAAGTTAGGGTAATATGCTTCTTCACTTTTAAATTCTGAGATTAATACTATTTTCATATTTGTCCATGACATGCGGAGCTGCAGCCAGGAGGAAATTACCTTAGCTGCAGCTCCGCTCCTGGAAATACATGTAGAAATGACAATTTGTGGTTTCACTTGGAGTTACATGCTGTAACTGTTCTCAAAGTCTGGCACTCAGTAGAGCACATACCTCTGCCTGGGCCCAACAGCCCCTGTAATTCAATCAAGCTGCACCACATTGCACACACTCATAGATTTCAGCCCCTTAAATATGCCTGCTATTTTTCATCAAGATGCATGAGCTACTCCCTGGGAAAATGGTGAAAATGCCCAATCCGCACCAAATGGGTAAATTCCCTGACCCGTACTTCATCCATCCACCAAATTCTGTGGAAGAATCTGCTCAGTTGTTCATGTGTAATCATTCACAAACAAACAAACATACTTAGTGAAGGTCATTTAAAACTAAGACAATAGAAAAAGATACAGCACATAATTCCCTCTATAACTACAAATTTTAATTCTTATATTTGTATACATAGTTTTTTAGAAAGATCTTTTACAAAACATCTTTCAGATGCCTTGGCTTTCATTCAGTTCTGTTTATTTACCTGAGCCCAGTGGTTCTTGAAAACAATCATGCAGGTCTCTGGATCCACCCCCTTCAACACCAGAGACTGCCCGTCTCGGTTTCCATTGACAACCATGGAGGCCATCATGGTGACCGGATCATACGTGGGTTAAACCATGTCATAGGCAGGAGAGGGAGGATGTTCCTGAATGCTTGCCGGGCGCAACCATAACCACAGAAGGAGGAATAATCACAGGGGACCTGAGGAGCCAGAGGAAAAGATATCATGACACATGGAACCATAAAAAAGTTGTATCTGAAAATAGCAGCACTGAGATGCAATGTGGTGACTGGTGATTTCAGCACAGCGCTTCCCCCCCTCTGCCTCTGCATGGCCAGACAGCAGCTATGACAGGAACGCAGGAGAGAGAACAATAACAGGCAAAGTCAGATGACTCCGATGAGACATCTTGCTCGACTTTGGCTCAGAGAGTTGCCTGCCGCGCTCTGGACTTCGGACCGAGCTGTCAAATGACTTTCGGAATATCTCAGACGCCCAGAGGAGATTCCTGCAGGCCCCCTGACATCACTCTCATTACACAAACATCTCCTCTGACATCAGAAGGCGAATAGCGACTGGGTGTGAGCTTCCCAGGCTGAACTGAAGGGGGAAGAGAAGCTTGATAGTTTTGTGTATCAGACACAATTTTGGTATGTGCTTCTTTTGAATTTCTAAATGCATTTGTAGGCAGTAGAATCTGCAGTGCTCACTTTGCTTTTTTAGATGAAAAATATATATATTATTTAAGATGAAAATAGCCTGTGGGCAGCTTTAGAGATCACTTCCAACACTCACATAAGCACCATGGAAATTTGGGAGATGCCAACTTTTTCCCTGCACAGAGGAACTAAGTTGTTGTTTCCCTTGGAGAGGACATGAGTGGAAAGACGTTTTATTTGACATCACTGGAGTAACCATGTTAATGTGAGACGACGTGGAGCTAAAAACAACAACATTGAGGAAAATCCAGCTCTCGGCTATAACATGTTTCCCAGCACACGCCTGCTCGTCAGGAAGAAGCTTGATAGGATGTGTTTTGTCTCTTCTTGCAAACAGTTAATATTAGTGATGAATATCACTACAGTTTAACATGAATAGTGTAAAAAAACAAGAGATCATATATAATTTCTCTATTAACAGGAACAGAATAACAGTCTACAGTTGTGTTAGCTGCTGTGATGGACTGCTTCCAACTGCTTGTTTGTTTTACTGGATTAACTCAAAAACAGACTTTATTTACTGTTAATTACTGATAAATTAATAAATCAAAGATCATTTTATTTGTTGGATGGCTCAATTATTGGGCATACTTGAGATACTTTGCAAAAACAAAAGATTATCATGTTAGTGCTAAATTAAATCTTTAGTCAGGATGTTTCATCCTCTGGAGACAAACAATGATATGAGATAGTCCAAGTAAAAATGTGTCACGAACAACACACGCACTGCTCAATACAGTGTAGTATGGATTCTACCAGCAGGGGATAAAGTGTAAAACACGCAGCAGCTGCACGCCACACCACCAGATAAAAATCCTCTAGACCCTGCCCCTAAAACCACCTTCTGACCAATCACAGCTCATCCCCCTTCTTCAAAATTCACTTTGTGGTTGTTGGGGATGTTTCTGTGGTGCTGGGGCAGAGTTCTGGCAAAACAAGGCACCGAGTCAAACTTTTACCATCTGCTTTCACTTACAGCCGAGAGTAACGGCTGGTGGGATTCTTCACATGGAATGTAAGAGCAGCGTGGAGTGTGTGTCAGTGTGTGTGTGTGTGTGTGTGTGTGTGTGTGTTTGGTTTCTTACCTCCACTGAAACATCTTAAACAGGGACGGATCTTTAAGCGGGCGAAGACCTCATTCTTGTCCTGTTATAATTAAAAAGGAGATATGAAGATATGTCAAGAGGCAGCCAGGGAGTGAGTGTCCGTGCGAGAGGCAAGGCATGGTGGGAAGTGACTGGACATGAGTAAGCTGTTCCGAATGCCACTTGGATTGAGACTGAATGGAGGAGGGAGCGAGGGAAGGAGGGAGCAGGAGGAGGGAGGGTGTAACAGGGAAAAATAGGGTGAGTACAGATCTACAGAAAAGGAGGTAGAGGGGAAAAGACAGCAGCAATCTTCACATGCATGAAAAATAAGCAACAAAACCAATCGCATGTCAGCTGCTAACGTTTCTGCAGGAATCTAACATCAATATCACATCCTCACGATGCCGGCTTCCCCGGAGAATAACACTATTGTCCTTTCCAATTAGTGCTGAGATGCCATTGGCGCCCTCCTCAGCTGCGAGAGGCCCACTCCCCGCCGACAACTGCCCACTTCTCCGGTAGAAAAACGGAGCGGCCGTGGGAATCATGTCACACGACGCTGCCGGGTCGAAACTCTCAGACACCGGCTTTTAAAATGTACAATGAGTAAAAACACTGACCACAGTTCAAACAGCGTGCTCTACTCTGCTGTTGCCGTTTTGGCCGGCGACAATTCAAAAAATGTCTGATTCTTGGAAAAGACGCAAGCATTCATAAAAGCGTGAGGTCGTGTAAACAGAGCGAGTGAGACAGATGGAGGGAGTGGATGTGCGTGGGTGCGTGTGCTACAGAGGAGTCATCAAACACTCTCACGTGCAATCTTTCCCCTGGCGGTGCAATATACTGTAGAAGCCACTAATGGAGTCGTACACAGAAAACATTATATCTATTTGGAGAGAGACGTTTATAATAAACCATTTTTTCATGCATGTGGTCAGAGTAAAATTCAATGTGGACAGAACTTGTATTTAACTAAAACATAACAACATTTTAGATTGTAAATCTGGACTGATTCTATTTAACAAATATTTTTCCCATATCGGCCAATAAGTAACAGAAATGCCAGAAATGTTTAAGGTATTTCAGTCATTACACAGTTTGTCCAACAGGCAGGATTATTTTTCTGTAATTGTCAAAAACCTCTTAAGTCATTTCTGTTGTTATTCGGTTTTTTTCAACAGACTGAAGGATTAGCCTGGTTTAAGCAACGATTAGCTGCTCTCAGACAACAATACACCTCCCCTCAAATATGCATATTTGGTGCTGTATGGTTCTGCTTCAGACAACCAGCCAATCAGGGTGAAGACTTGGATATAGAACTCAATAAATCACAGCTGAAAGTACCGGCATCTTATAATACACCTAACAAACTAATGAGATTCTCATAAATATATATTCCACTACAGAAAGCCACGTTTTGAGGAATAAAATGCTTTTTATTGGTGAAAGTCATGACCTACAGTCTGCATGTGCTGTCATGATGTGTCTCAGCCAGCATGTGAGCCAACACTTACCCAGAAGACACTGCTCTACTTGCCCAAAATAACCTGAATAGACCCTGAGAGGAAAGTCAAAATATAGGTTGATGAAAAAATACATCGTTTGAGAGAATCCGAGTTGGTTCTGAAGTAGTTTCTTGTCATGAAGGTTTACAGGAGAACGCAGTTTCATGTCTGCGTGCATTTTGTTTGTTTACAGTCTGCAAATCTCTGGGTTCTCCTGATGGTCACTTCCAATCATCCAATTATGGTAATTTGATAATTACACCAATTTGTTGTGTCCTCGTCTCAAGACAGAGACAAAATCCACAGAGCAGAGGAAACCAGATGATTTTCCTCAGTGAATATACAGTTAGTTCAAGGGTTTTTTTTAGATTATTTTCAATAGATCTAACTTAAGCTTCATCTTGGACTTGCAGTTTTAATTAAAAGTATTCCTGTGGGTTTTATCTGAGCGGATAAATCTCGTGATGTACAGAGACACACCCTCACTGATGTTTCCCAGGTGTAATATGGTGAAAAAGACCGACAACTTTGCCCGGGCGGGTCAGTCAGGGCTGAGCAGGTCCTAACGTCGGCCACAGGTCCCTCTGGTTGATCCATAGCCATGTTGATACTGGCTCTGTAGCTTCCATGCTGTTTCTGATTGCTTCCTTCCTTCGAGCCACAGTAAACACTCTGTAGCCCACCTCCCATGAGACAACACTGTAATCCTCAACCAAACCCTGGTAGCTGGCAAGTGTCTGTTTGGAGAACTTGAACTGTTTCCTAAAGACGACCATGATTTGCCAGCCTGCTGCCTCTGTAGTGGCTCCTCCGCTTCACAAACATGGCGGTGCCTCTTTTTAGAACAGAGCTGTTCAAATTAAAGACAAAACAAAGCAACAGGGAAAAGAAAAGAAATTGACATTTGGAATACCTGCATCCAGTTATTTATTTTCAAATATATTTTACATTTACAATTGTTTAATTGTAACTCTATATGTATTCATATTTCATTTGTATTTTTTTTTAATAAGTTTCCATTAAAATAATTTTGTACTTCTGTCTATTTTTAAGTTAAGCGTTTTGTTTGGTACAAAGAATGAAATAATTGTTTGGCTCACCATTACAAACAAGTAATTAGATAATAACCTGGAAATGTTCCAATTAGTTAGTTAATCTGTGAAAATAAGTCTGACTATTACTACAGAAATAGGAGATTTCGCTAATTCTATTCAGTGGGGATGGTTTCGGTGGTGAGGTTGCATAATAACATGGCCTCATCTTTACTCCCAAGGTAAACATGATGACAAAATGACAACATGGCCTTTGTGTTTCACTTCCGTCTCTTTTCTTCAGAAGAATTCAAGTACCAGAGCAAACATGGTCGGAAACTGAAAAGGGAATGTTGGCCTCTGGGAGATCTGTCCTTTTTTTTCTGATCTGGTTTCTTGCTTTGTCAGCTTTCTGTCCTCCACAGGTTTTTCATACACGCAGGCGTGGTCTGGGCAAACAGCTCAGAGGCAGGACACACCCTTCACTCGGAACAGAGATCATCTTTCTTGCCTAACAGGAGTTTTAACCCTCAGGTCCACAGGGAGATTTAATTAAAAAACATTTCAGAACAGCTATTCGTTCAAATCTTTGAGATGAAGCATGAGGCCCATTCGCTCTGAAGGTGACGCTCACACAGGAGAAATTTACAGTCGCCCGGTGGCAGCAATGGTAACCATGTGAACAACAGGCCCATTGAAGTGATAACAGCCGCTGAAATATGAAGGTAGAGCCAGATAGTGCCTGGTGGGACTATTTATAGTCTTTATCCAATCAACAGCAGGAAGGAAAAAAGCCAGTGATTTTCTTATCTATGTCTATTATTCCCATCAGCAGCTCAGTGACCAGGGTGTCAGACCATTCATCTTTAGTAGAGACTCAAACTGAACCCATGTTCAAAGCTGTGGCATGAACATGAACATATCTCAAACAGGTAATTTAGAACTAATTTAAAAATTCTAATGATTTACTTACCAAACTGATTTTGACCATCAGTTCTATCAGTATTATTTGACTGGAATCTGTATCATATCATTTGGGTTTTTTTAGGTTCTCTGGTCAATTAGTTTTGAGGAAATTGAATAAGTGGCAATGTCTTAGTTCTAATTCTTAATTGTTTCCCAAAATGATCCGAAGCTTAGTTAAACCTGGTGGCAGTCGAAACAGGTTGTGAACATGTAAACATAACATTAGGTTTATGCCGATATGACAGACTTGTTATTAGAATTTATCTTAATCATTTACTATTTCATTTTCATTCGCTATCTAACTACTACTGCCACTGTCTTTCTGGCTCCGATGTTGGTTCCGGTACCTCATCAGACTTCACGAGTCTTGTTTTTTTGTGTTTATAAAGCGAGATGGCCCCAGCTCAAGTTGCTAGCTCATTTTTTGCCAACGTTCTGCACAAACAGGTAACACTAACAACACAAACACAGCTGCCACCATTTCCATACAGTCTATGAGCTACCCAGCGCAGCTATGCTAACAATGCTAGCCAACTGAGAACATGAATGAAGGGAGAGGTGTGAACGAAGAAGCATTTGTTTTGGTCTGAGATCCTGATGCTAGTGCGGTAACATAGTTAACATAGAGTTAACATAGTTACAGTGAATCTAAGTGTCCACCTTCAAAGTGTCTGACGGAGCACAAGCCCGACAGGTGTTGAAAAATGACCGTAACCTGCTTATGAGATAAGGCTGTGATTATGTAAGAAGATAGTGCTGCTCCATGCTGCACGTCTGTGGATTTTCACATACACATAAAGGCTAACAGGGTGTTGGCTGTTGTGCTCAGCTGGGAACTGGTTTCAGAAACAGGCTGATCCGACCATATTGCTCAGTGATCACGAGGAGACACTCATTAACACAAACATACAGAACAGGCGAGGGGGGTGTAGGTCAACAAGGGACTTGCAATGGAACCGTACCAGCTGGATATTAACATGTTGATTATTACTCATGAGCACTCGGCCTCCATCTTGATCTCAAATATACACACCTGTAAAATGTGTGGCTGTGTGCTGCACCGTGGTCTGTATCTGCCCACAGACACAGAGACTTCTCAACACAACTCAAACAAGGCGACAACAATAGCAGCTACCTCATTACGGTCTGGTAATAAACACAGCTGCACCAGAGACCCTGAGAGGACAGATACACCTTTCTAAACTCTGAGCGCTATATAGAGTAGATAAAGGCCACCCATGCAACGGACACAAGAGCCCTTATCCCCGTTCATCAAAGTTATGCTGCTAACTCCAAACGTTGCGGATCTCTTGGAAGAGTTCCGGCTCCAGTGAAGAGATAAGGTTTACTCTCCAGACAGATGAGACAGTTTCCTGCAAGTCTGACATAATTCTCCACCTCTGTATGCGTGAGTCAGTGCATTGACAGTATATGTATATTGATTTTCCTTCACCACTTCCCAGGGAGTAACCCACAAGTCTCCCGGCCTAAACAAATACACACAAGTTCTTTCTGCCGATCAGACAAATAACTCACAACAACATTATTTGCCTAAAGAGCCGAAAGCCATATTGGTGCACCTTTAATCTAAATGCTAACATTCACATGCTATCAGGCTCACCATGCAATTTAATGTTGAATATTTTCTCTATTCATCACTTTAATTTTCAACTTCAAAACACTGCCTTATTAGCAATAGTGAGGTTTATAGAAATGTCAAAACATTTTCTGGGTGTTTGGACTTTGAAATGAAATTGACTTGATGACACAGATAAATGAAACAATCAATTCATCCCAATGAATGTTTCAACCAGATTTAAATAAATCCGGTTGAATATCGTTAGCATTCATCCTTTGGAGACAAGGACTCCACAAGTTTTCATAGCAATCTAATTGAGATATCTTCAACCATTATGAGGACGGACGACATGCCAGCTCCCCAAAAGTGAGTGCAGTAATGTCACTGAATACATGACCTCTGCGACCTCAGGGGTAGATACTCTCCCCTCCCTCCTGAAACTTTACACTACACGTGTTTATCTCTCATGTTTTCCTCTGACCCTCACAGGCTAAATTACCACATTGTATGTACACAATGTGGGTCGGTGACATCAGCCCTGCTCTCATGTTGGTATGAGGAGACTGTGGCAACACAACAGGCTTCCACAATGGGCTTCTGTCAGTGATAAGACTGTGTGTAGTGTGGGTGCATATCGCATCCCACTCCTGCTATACTTCCTCTGCAGCTCATTTGCATCACTATTTGATAAAGAGAGAAAAAAGGCCATGTTTGCATATGGAGCTGGAGGGGGAGGGCAGAAGATACAGGCACGTCTGTGAAGTTCAGAGATGTTTGTCGGAGAGACGAGCTGCAGCACTGCACTTGTGTAATTAGCCAAGAGGATGAAAAGAACGTTTTTGATACACTGTGAGTCGACAGAGATAACTCTAGACGTCGAGTTCTGGTTTTTAAAGGAAAAACAGCGCAGACTGAAAATACCTCCTGGGCTCATCTATGTCAAATATTTGTTTGGGTGTGGATGAGCCTGTTTTAACCCTTTTAAAACAAACTTTTCTTTGCATTTTAAACATTATCGCTCGAGGAAAGGAACGTGTTTACTTCAGAATTCATGTGACTGTACATTTCTCCAATAATACGTTTTAGATGCAAACTCATATATACACTTTCCTATGACAAACTGCAGGCTCCATTAACACAACTTGTGGCATTCTATTCTATTCTATTCTGTGGCAGTTTATCCTAACACAACAGAAGTGGTTTAACCAGATTTAGCCACAATCTCTTACTATTTTCACAACACATTCAAGTGGAAGGCCAGTGTGCTGCAACACATAGGTGCGTTTGTTTTAATCTGTCCTGCATTAGCCACACTAATAAAGGTTTATTATTTGTTCCTCATTAAGATTGCCTTTTCTTAGTATATTTTCTTTTTTGCATTATATTTTTACATAGTTTCCATCTTTCTGCAGCTCTTTAGGTTGAAATACAGCCTAAATATGTTACCAATAAATCCTGTTCCATATTTTTTTCACAACCATGCAGACACTCTTTGAGAAAAAAAACTAAATGTTATTGTAGAAATACTTTTAACATCGTGGGAAATGAGCGTATTCCCTTCTTCCCAGGAGTTAGATAAGAAGATTAATGCCACCTCTAATCCAAAATAGTAGTCGTATTAAAAAGGCGGTGCTTTACTTTGTGCTGAGCCTTTAAGAAACGCTGCCAGTGAGTGTTGCCACATAGCTTTCATGTTGCCTGTTACCTTCCAGAGTCAGCGTCAGGGCGCGAGCAGCGAGGGCCGGGCTAATCCCAAACATGAGACAAAGCTGAGCTTGCTTGTTCATGGTGGGAGCAGGTAACACACACACAAACACAAACAGCAGCTGGGTTAGTGACTACAACAAATGTTTTACTTACAACAGAGGCCCGGTTTAGATTGCTTAAATACCATTTAGGTTATCGGACTATTGCTGAAGTCTCCAAAGTTTCTTCAAAACAATCAAATTTAAAACCAAATACGATTAAAAATCTCTTGGCCATCGAACAGGGAAAAGGTGAAGCTGGTCTGATCCCGATCACAAACCTGTGACCTGAGCCCATACGTCTAATGACATTAGTATGACCATTATCCACAGTCTGCTGGGATGTCCTGGTTATGATGCTCGCCAAACAGACGCTTCACTGTGTGAGATTTGCGTCCCGTCATACTGATGATACTGATTAGCCACACATTCATCTCATTCCTCAGGTACTCCTCATAAGGCCTCGTGAAATATAGAACAATCTTGCAGCATTTTTCAACCGATATATATGTTGAGGAACGCTGGCATGAAAAGTTGGAGTTTGGTGTGAGCAGATTGAGGCACAGCGCCAGCAGCATGTCAGTAATTATACACAACAGGGATGAGACTGTATAAATCTAGACGACAGCTGGGATTTCTCTATAAATCAGTCTGAAACAAGTGGAGATTAACGGAGAGCTAACACGTATGCAGCGGATGCCTTCACTTGAATCGGGTGACGTCATGCGTTGACGAACTGCTTTTTTGGTCTGTTCCTTCATTCCGCTGCATGTGACCCGTGACCTGTCTGATTTTAAACATCAAGGTGAGACTGGAGAGAGGAGGTATTGAACCTGTGTGATCGTACGGTTGTGGACAGCTAGCATGGGATATTAGCATTTCATTAGCCCATGTTGTGTTTTCTACGCAGGACACAGTGATTGGTGGTTGTCGAACTTGTCATTATGAAGATCACGTCAGCGCCTAAGGTCAGGAACACGTCAAGCGTTAAAGCAACACACACGTGTCAGTGCTAAAGTGGAGCTGCTTTGTTAGAAAAACTAAGTTGTCAAACCCTCACACCTTTCCTGCCTCTATAGTAGCTTACTGCCTGAATATGGTCCCACTGCAGATGAGCTGTGATTTTTGTATTTTTAACGCCCTCAAAACAGATCGCAGGGAAGAGCCAATGGTTGTTTGCTCGAGGGCTTTAAACAATTTTCAAAACCAACTCAGTGAGCTTTATTTCTGGAGACATGTCGACCATCGGAGAGAGTGATCCCCTTTTTTCACAACTCTCCAACATTTTATAGATGCAAATATTAACAGCTTGATTGAGAAAATAATCAAATGATCAGTCAACAATAAAAATAATTGCAAGTTTAAGCCCTAAACAAATAATTGACATCTGTTAACCCACTTTTCAAACAACCAGCTAGCTCATACAAACAGACTTTAGAGCACACACACAACGAGGTGGGGGGGAAGATAAGCCCCCGAGCAGCAGAGTAATAAATCACACTGAAGATGAAATGACTCCTCAGACTTTTTCTTCCACAGAGAAAACCGAAACAAAAACACACTTTCGGCCTCTCGTGTTTGACATCTTCTCTCGGCTGGAAAAGAAAAGCTGAGCTTGCATAAGGTGACTGTGGAGAACATTGATTTGGACACGTGAACACACACATGCTGGTCGGCCATTAAATGTTAATGTGGGCCGGTAACTCAGCACCCCCTCTACATTATAGATATCCGAGGTCACATGCTCACAGGTGAGATGCCCTCAGGCTTGTTCTCCATGTGAGGCAGTAAAATAACTTTGCCTTACAACAACAGCACATAGACACAACACTACTTATCTTTTGTGTGTCGTTGCTTTTCATCAGATCCCTGTTTATTTTTATGATACTGTTTATTACTTTGAAGGCCCTGCGTGACCTACATGGTGCTGATTAGACATTAGACGTCTTAATCCTGTATGAACCTTCACATGTCTTGAGACGTCTCTTCACTGTTCCAGACACCAGGTTAAAATCTAAAGGGAGACAGATCTTTTTCAGTCAGGGGCCTGAAGCTCTGAAATGACCTGGCCAAAGAAATCAGTCCGGCAGAGTGTGTCAGCCGCATTTGAGAAGCTGGAAACAGAAATGTTTTGGCATTTTTTTGTTGGAAATAATCAATCATGTTTATTTATTTATTTTTGTTGTTGGGTTTTTTGACAACTGAGTAACCAATTAAAGGTACAGTGTGTAGAATTTAGTGATATCTAGTGAGGAAATTGCATGTTGCAGCTGAACACCCCTCACCTCACCCTCTCCTTCCAAACATGAAAAAGAAACTGTGGCAGCTTCACTTGTCATAAAAACTAAAAAGGTGTTTAGTTTGTCCAGTCTGGACTAATGTAAAAAACATGGCGGCCTCCGTAGAGAGGGTCCCCTCCATGTAAATATAAAGTATTTAAATATAAAGAAAACTACAATTCATACAATTTAGATGAAACGAACTACTGAAAACATCAGGAGGATTATTCTACATTAGATTTCTGCCAATAGTTCCCTTTCACCTAAATCTTACACACTGG